GTTTATTGCAGCATTATTTACCATAGCTAAGATCTGGAACCAACCCAGATGCCCCTCAGTAGATGAATGGATCAAGAAAATGTGGTATATATATACAAAACTCTTATCTCCAATAAAACACCAGAAAACCGGAAGTGGCGCTGTAGCTCAAGTGGAAGAGTGCTAGCCCAGAGTACAAGCCCCATGACCAACAAAAAAAAAAACAAACAAACAAACAAAAAACACCTGATGGGAATTCAGAAGGGACTGCCAAGACAAGGTTGTGGAATGACTCATATTGACAGATTCCAACTGGGAGCAAAGAACAAAATTCCCAAAGGCAGTGCAAGGTCCTGCGACTGTCAGACCTAGCATACAGGGTTTAAGTTGATGAAAAGGTGATCTTACTGAAGTCTTTTATTAAGTCTCCAGAGCAGCCATAGGCAAACGTGAACTAACACTGCTGGCCTCATCTATACCAGTTAAAACTTTCACTGCAGGAAGACATAAAATTGCCATCAGTGAGATGAGCATCTGGCAGACTTGGGTGTTAGGTTGTCAGGGTGAAGAACTCAAATTCAGTTTGAGTCCAGTCAGTGTGGTAGATGTTTAACTTTTACTATTTCCTCTTCCTTGAGGATTAATGAACTTGGCTGGGATGATTTCCTATGTGTATTTGACCACATGTTCTGTGTGCTTGTGGAGACCCATATTAGCATAGATTAGCATAACAAGCTTTAGGTTCTCAGACTTAGAGATAATACTAGAAGTCTTGGGGTACAGTCCCCCTGGTATTTCACTTATGAGGTAAAGCTAGCTGAGTCTCTTCTTTTTTTTTGGGTCCGGTCGTGGGGCCTGAACTCTGGGCCTGGGCGCTGTCCCTCAGCTCTTCAGCTCAAGGCTAGTGCTCTACCACTTGAGCCACAGCGCCACTTCCGGCTTTTTTCTTATGTGGTGCTGAGGAATCGAACCCAGGGCCTCAAGCATGCAAGGCAAGTGCTCTACCACTGAGCCACCTTTCCAGCCCCCGCTGAGTCTCTTCTTTACCAGTCCTGGTATATAGAATATGTCTAGTTTCTTTTCTTCCCAGAGGAGAGGAAAATAAGTAAAGTTTGATTTTATTTAAATAACTACCGTGGCTAATAGTTACTAGATCAGAGAGAAAAGCTTTCAGATTTCCTTGAAGAATTTGGTCTTCATAATAACAGTATATTTTAACGTAGGTTTCATACAGTTTGAAATATCTTCATAATTTTAAGAAAGTTAAAACATTTTTTTGTGTGTGTGTGTGCTAGTCCTGGGGCTTGAACTTAGGGCCTGGGAGCTTTATTGCTAGAGCTTTATTGCTCTAGACTAATGCTCTACCACTTAAGCCACAGCTCTACTTCTGGCTTTTGGTGGTTAATTGGAGAAAAGTCTCATGGACTTTCCTGCATGGGCTGGCTTTGAACCACGATCCTTACATTTCAACCTCCTGAGTAGCTGGGATTATAGATGTGAGTCACTTACCTTGTACTGTTGCCCTAATAATTACATAGTTAGTTTATCAAATAATTATTTTTATAGTACTGGGTTTTAAACTCAGGGTCTTAACTTGTTTGGCTTGCTTGATTAGCTAGTACTCTACCACTTCAATCACACCTCCAGCTCAGCTTTTTTTTTTTTTTTGGGTCCGGTCGTGGGGCCTGAACTCTGGGCCTGGGCACTGTCCCTCAGCTCTTCAGCTCAAGGCTAGCGCTCTACCACTTGAGCCACAGCGCCACTTCCGGCTTTTTCCTTTTTGCTTATGTGGTGCTGAGGAATCAAACCCAGGGCCTCTGGCAAGCAATGCAAGCACTCTACCACTGAGCCACCTTCCCAGCCCCACCATCATTTATTTTGTTCATTGTTGTATCCTTAGCTTATTAATCAATACCTAACATAAAATTGGTGCCTATGTCAATATGAACTGAAAGAATAATCTATAGTTTATAGTAAAAGTGCCTTCTTAATTGTCTAAAAAATTATTGTGTTGCCATTATTTCTTTCATAGTAGTATTATTAGTATTTCTTTAATACTAATCTGTGGAAGATTTATATTGTATCACCTTTATATTATGACTTTGAATTTGTTATTTACGGTCTTAAAAAACCTTCACAGGTACTTGTACTGATTTCATAAGTGAAGAATTTAAAGCCACAGAATAGTTAAAGTAATTTTGTCAATGACATATAGCCTGTGGATCATAGAGTTAGAATCCATACTCTAACTATTAGGCTACATTGTCACTTACATTTTGATTCTAAATAAATTGGCAATTCCTAAAAGTGATATATGCTGACTGTCAACTAAGACACAACCCCTCACTCTGTAGATAAAGGGGAGCTTTCTGAACTGGAAACAAGTACTCAGAGTTTACTTCCTGACATGTAATTCCTTTTTTCCCCCATACATAGTTGTATTGTATTTCAAAATTACTGGCCCTCCATCTTTCTTTTCCCCTATTCTCTTTCCCTCATCCTCCTATGTTGTCCCATCATTCGAATCATGTTCTATATATGTATGTGTGTATGTATGTATGTGTGTATTTTCTCTCTCTGTATATAAATTTACATAGATAGTATATAGACATGTGCACATATGTGAGAATATGTATTCTTTTACATCTAGCGTCTACATATAGTCATATGTATATGATATGAAAGTCAAATATGTGCTATTTAGCTTTCTTGAGCCAAATATCAGCATGATGATCTACAATTCTGTTTTTCTGTAAGTGGCATGATTTTATTTTTATTTGTGACAACAATATGCCATGGTATGTATTATATCTATTTTATCTATTCATCTCTTGTTGGGCCTTGCAGCTGATTCCACCATCTTGTTACTGTGAGTAGCACTAAAATAAACATAGGTATGCAAATACCTTTCTTGTATATTGATTTATGCTCCTAATACATGCCTAGTTGTGGTTTGGTAGGATCATAAAATAGGTCTGTTTTTAGTTTTTTGAAGAACTACTATACTAATTTTCATAGTGGTTGTACTAGTTTACAAACCCAACAATGTATAAGAGTTTCTTTTGGGCTGGGAAGGTGGCTCAGTGGTAGAGTGCTTGCCTTGCATGCATGAGGCCCTGGGTTCGATTCCTCAGCACCACATAAGCAGAAAAAGCCGGAAGTGGCGCTGTGGCTCAAGTGCTAGCCTTGAGCTGAAGAGCTGAGGGACAGTGCCCCAGTCCAGAATTCTGGCCCCATGATGGGCAAAAGAACAATAACAAACAAACAAAAAAAGAGAGAGCCATCAGCTCTCCCCAGATGGGCTTGAGAGATGCCCAAGCATGGTTAATGTCCAGAATCACTCAGGGCTCAGGTTTAATAACACCTTTCCAACTCCTCTCCCCTTTACCCTCCCTCCCCCTTCCATCCCACATAGGTCTCAAGGCCAACAGGGAACTCTCTCCTCCTTATCCCCAGCAAACCCACAGCTCATCCTTCTCAGCCCCCTTCTTCTGGAAGGCAGTCAGGATGTTTAAGCTCTTCTGGAGCTCTTCCTTTTTCCCCGTTACTCATCTTGTTCTTCTCAATCAGCTTGGTGATCCGAGTCATCTCAGACGCTGGAAGTCCTCACCTTGGTCTAACACCTTCCCCATGATTTTTAGATACTGCTCAGCCCACTTCTTCTCAGTCTCCTTCACACTTGAGAGGTTGTCCTGCCCCTGTTTCAAGAGGGCCTGGCGAGCCTCCATGCTGGAGGCCCTGATGAACTCTCCCGCTAGGGTATTGCACACAGGCAGGCAACCGGGCATACCTTTTAGCCAGCGCTGGATGGCTCCAACTTTTACCCCACTATAGGGGACTGCGTTTTCAAAGTCCCCATCCTGGTAGAAAACTGGGTAGCTCTCCTTGTCTAGCTTGTATTTCTCACTCAGCTCCAAGTTCAGTTTGTCACCGTAATCTGAGATCCCCACCTCTGCCACCAAGAGATCATCACTGGAGGCCGAGTTTTCAGCCAGGCACTTGAACTCATCCTGCTTCGAAGTTCACCAAGATGAACTTGCTTTTGGGAATGACCTTATAGAAAGTGATCGTGTCCAGGGGAAGGGCGCCGTTGGTGTGCAGGCCGTTGCTGCCCTGCGGAGCAGAGAGGAGTAGGAGTCCCAAGAGGAGGGCATGTAGTGGGGAGAGAAGGGCGGCGTGGATCATGGCCGCAGCCAGAATGCAGGATTCCCTCATACTTTGTTTTACACACACACACACACACACACACATTTTGTGTGTGTGTGTGTTTTTTTAGACAGGGTCTTGGTATGTAGCCAAAGTTGACCTCCAGCTCATTATGTAACTCAGGCTTACCTCAAACTGCCTCAGCCTCTTAAGTGCTTACATTACCGATGTAAACCACCACACTTAGCCTTGATATGTATTTATGTATGTATATATAATAGTATGTATAGTATACATAGTATAATATAGTATATATAATCTTTTTTATCTTTCAATTTGAATTTTCTCAATATTTCTTTTATCTTGCAATTTATTTGAAGAAATATATCTGTATCTTTTTTTTGTTGTTGTTGTTGTTGGTTGTGGGGCTTGACCTCTAGGCCTGGGTGCTATCCCTCAGCTCTTCATCTCAAGGACAGCACTCTACCACTTGAGCCACATCACCACTTCTGGTTTTCTGAGTGGTTTATTGGAGATAAGAGTCTCACGGACTTTCTTGCCCTGGCTGGCTTTGAACTGCAATCCTCAGAGCTCAGCCTCCTGAATAGCTAGGATTACAGGTGTGAGCCACTGATGCCTGGCCTATATCTGTATCGTAAGAGCAGAAAAAATTTGAAATTTCAGATAGCAGATTCAGTTTGAATAAAGTGGCATATCTTAACTCACTTTTGTATTTGCTTATATAGCACTTCAAATAGTGCTCTGTGTGTGTGTGTGTGTGAGTGTGAGTGTGTATGTATATGTTTGTTCTGGGGTTTGAACTCAGGGCCTTGTGCTCTTTGTCATTTATAATCTGTTACATAATTTGTTCTGTGATGTATAATATATGCATTCAACTTGCATAATGTACAATTCTATTTCACTAAAGACATTTTCTTTGGCACTTTGAAGTGCGTCTATATCAAATCATTAGAATAAGTTTCGAATGTAACATTAAAAATTAAGCTTATTTCTGGAAATTTTTGTTCTAATTGTGCTTCAAATTTTAAAAACAAGTCTCTATGTAAATTATGAACTAGATTAGTTTCTTTTAGTGAAAGGTTTATATTATACCCCTTTGGTAGGATTTTATGCTATCTTGAGGTTCAATTTTATTTTAGAGATAAAAGAAGACTAGAAGCTAAAAAAGATGCTGGGATCTGAACGCGGTGTTGTGGAAGAATGGTTATCAGAATTCAAGGTAAATTGGATTGGGGATAATAATAAATGGTTCTGTATGGTGACAATTCAGTGACTGTTCTATGTATACATAATAAGTAGACTATGAAATGGAAATGGCTTAATATGAGAAGTTTTCCTAGTTGAAATACTTTAAGGCACATTAATGAAATAAGGACTAGAGATTTTAGGTAAAAATGAACATAGTTATTAGGATTTTTTCCACACCAGCTTTATTAATATTTAATTAAACATTAATTAAATGAGTTGTTAAGATTAATGAGATATTTGAAATATATTCAGTAGGTTGCTCTGTAAGCTTTAATAAGACACAAAAATTTGATTTTTGCCTTATTTTTATTTCCTGTATTTAACTCAAATAGTTTTTGTTGTTTTTTTTTTCCCCCCCCAGTCCTGAGGTTTTAACTCAGGGCCTGGGCACTGTCCTTTAGCTACTGTTTAGCTCAAGACTAGCACTCTACTGCCCCAGTGCCACTTCTGGCTTTTTCTGTTTATGTGGTACTGAGGAATTGAACCCAGGGCTTCATGCATGTGAGGTAAACACTCTACCACTAAGCCATATTCCCAGCCTGACAAATAGTTTTTATTGAAAATGACATGATTTGTGAATACAACAAAAAAGGTTTGTGAGAACATAAATGGAAGAATTGAAATGTCCTAATTTTTTAGATTGGATTAATTTAAGGTAGCTCCTTTTCTTCAAATTTAGCTATGGTAATGTGATTTGTACACAGTTTTCATTGTTGAGTAGTTAGAAGAATTGTATAATTTGTTTCATTAACTCATGGTTATTTCCTATATTATTTTTTACTTTTTTCATTTGCTTAAAAAGTTTTCAAGAGGCCCTTAGGAAAAAAACAAAATAAAGCTCACTTACGTTGTCTTCTGCTGATTTCTTATTTAGGCATTACCTGACACTCAGATCACCAATTATGCAGCCACTTTACACCGGAAAAAAACACTTGTACCAGCCCTCTATAAAGTTATTCAAGATTCAGATAATGAGGTAGGAAAACTTAAATAATTTCTGCATAGTGACATGTTAACATGTACTAAAACGCATAAAGGTAAGTTTTATAGTTTTCTGTCTTTACCTGCAGATCTGGAAATGTTCTACCTTCTATTTTTCATTCTGATAGTTGCTTTGGCTTTTCTAGTTCTCACTAGTTTCAAAATGTTTTGGTCAATTTTTTTTTTTTCTGTGAGCAATATGTTTTGATTCTTGATTTGAGTGACCATTATCTCAATGTATTATTTATTTAATTTGAAACTTTTTTCTCTTTTTGTTCCTGCTCTGGGAAGGAAATTGTTAACAGTATACCAATTGTTTTATTTATTTGAATATTGATTATTAATAATAAAGAGCTATTTTATAGTCACTCTAATCAGTAAAATCAAATTCATAATGCATAATCATGCTGCTATTTATTATGTTTACCCTGAAAAAAATCAGAGGACACACTTTTTAGTCTAAACTGTTGACATCAATAAACTTAGAATAACAGCTTACTGTTATTCAACTTTGTGATAGAAGGTAAAAATGCAGCTATTGAATCTGATGTAACTTATTTATGCCAAATACACACATTATTTTTCCATTAGCACAGTAGTGTGACTTAGAGTTTTAGCCCGCTGGATTCATGTATGCTTTAAAATGAAAATGAAAGGAACACACAGGAAAGTAGCTTCTTATCTTCCCAGATACAGCCTCCAAGAGTGCCTCTGCTGTGTACTGGAGTGAGTTTGAAGAAGTTCAGGTAATCGTCTTCTAACCAGCAGCTTAACTCAAAGTGCATCTTCGGTTTTGTCCTATCACTAAAGCTTGCTTATTGACCTCCTTCTTTCCTGTCCCTTAAATTTGAATTGGCTCTCAGACTTGCACCTGTTGCTATTTGTAACAGCAATTGCAGGATTCATTTGCTTTTTTTTTCTTTGTTAATGTTTTAAAATTTTAGGTATGGGTAATGTATTATATGTGTGTGTGTGTGTGTGTGTGTGTGTGTGTGTGTGTGTGTGTGTGTATGTGTGTACATATCTTTCTTACTCTTAAGTATTTGGAATTCTGTTTGAATAATAAGTGTGTGTATTTTCTTACCCATTGTTTTGTGCTGTCTTAACATTTAAGCTTTGCATATTAAAATCCTGTATGCTTTCTCTTTAGATTGTAAGCTCTACATGGGCAGTGGTCATATATTCTATATTTTTACTTTCCTAAAATGTACCATTTTGTTATGTATATAATGAACATGTAATAAATCCTGATAAAGCTGAGGTATAAGTCATGTAGAGTGCCTGTCCAACATGCAAAAGGTTCTAGGTTCAATCTCTGGTGATTGATAGATAGATAGATAGATAGATAGATAGATAGATAGATAGATAGATAGATAGATAGATAGATAGATAGATAGATAGATAGATAGATGGATGGATGAAATTATCACTTTGTGAGATACAAAAAGATTCTAATATGCTTTCATTTCCATTAGGACTCAAAGATATGAAATATGTCTTTTTTCTTTTAAAAAATACTTTTGAAAGCTATGACACTTTTTCAAAAAGTTTTTTTTGTTGGCTGTGGGGCTTGAACTCAGGGCTTGGGCACTGTTCCTGAGATCTTTTTGCTCAAGGCTTGTGTTCTACCACTTTGAACCACAGCCCCACTTCAGGTTTTCTGGAAGTTAATTAGAGGTGAGAGTATCATGGACTTTCTTACCTGGTCTGGCTTTGCAAAAACTGTGATTCTCAGATCTCAGCCTCCTGAGTAGCTAGTATTAGTGTGAGCCACCAGCTCCCAGTTAAAAAGTTATTCTTAATGCTTTGTCATACTTCATAATATTATTGTGTGAGACCTAATAGTTATGCATGAAAATGGAAAAATTACAGCTTGTGAGATTTAGGCACAAAATTCATTATTGTAATCAGTATAATGATTAGAGCAGAGTTGAGTTTCTGTCTTTTTTTCTGTCAAATTAGAAGGCTCTAACTATGTTTCAGACTTCAAGAAGAGAAGAATAAGTTTTGTAGAATCTCAAAACAGTTCTGGACTTCAATTACTGAAGTGGGGGCCCTTTTAAATCCTGATTTTGTTATATTCTGAAATGTAATCAAATGTATTATTTGATCAATGAAAGTTATTTCAGGAAATGGTCAAAACAATATGAATTTGAAGTTACAACAATTTTATAATTCTGCTTTACAGACAAAAACTTTTTCAAGAATATATATTTCCTAAGCAAGGCTTAGTGGTTTCATACCTGTAATTCTAGCTACTCAGGAAGCTGAGATTGAGAGGATTGCAGTTGAAGCTTGCCCAGTTACAAAGTTTGTGAGAACTCATCTCAACAAATGAGGAGCTGGATGTTATGGTTTGTGCATTATCAACCCACCTACATGGAAGGCATAAAAAGGAGGACTACTGTCCAGACCAGCTTGGCCATAAAAACAAGACACTTGAAAAATAATAATAGCAAAATGGACTAGTGGCATGGCTCAAGTGGCAGAGCACATCTGGCTTACACAGGGACTGACCTGAATTCTACCCCTATTACTATCAGAAAAAGAATCCTAGAAGCTTACCTATACATTGTTATCGAAAACCTGTGTTGCAAATTCAGTTTTAATATGAGCAATAATCCTTATCATTCTCTTTTCCTCCTATCAGACTCCATCATTCTAGTCATTCTTCCACTTTAAGGAATTCTCTAATCTGTTAAGTTCTTCCCCCCCCCCCCCCCCCCCCCCAGCCCTTGTCTCCCCATTCACAATACAGACTAGGCACAGGCCTGGGCTGAGGTGTATATGGGGTAGGTTTACTCTGCCTCCTCTTTCTATACAGTCAGTGTAAGAACACAGCCTGTGGTAAGCACCCGGAGGCCCTGTTAAGTTCTTATAGTCTGTTAAATCATGGTTTATCATTATAGTCATTCCCTGTGAACATTCTTAGCTCTTTTGCCTCTTGTTCTCTTAGTTCATTTTTTGGGAAAAATCTGGACAAAAAGGTCAACCTGTGTTTTTAATGCGTATCGCTGAGCAGCTGAACATGCCCAGAAAAAGTTTTTTTGAGTTTCTGCTCTCTAAATTCAGGATTACAAATCTTTTTTTTTTTTTTTTTGGGTCCAGTTGTGGGCCTGAACTCTGGGCCTGCGCACTGTCCCTCAGCTCTTCAGCTCAAGGCTAGCGCTTTACCAAGTAACTTGAGCCACAGCGCCACTCCCGGCTTTTTTTTTTCTTTTTGCTTATGTGGTGCTGAGGAATCAAACCCAGGGCCTCATGCACGCAAGGCAAGTGCTCTACCACTGAGCTACCTTCCCAGCCCAAGGACTACAAATCTTAAATGATTATATAATATGTACCTTAAAGTCCTTCCTTCCTTTTTTGCTACACTGTCCCACTGTTGGTTTTCTGTCCTCATATGCTTTCCTTCCTTATTCATTTTCAGCTTGCTTTTCTAGGTCATTAAATAACAAAATAATTGAGCTTTCTCTTCTTTTCCCAATCATATTTACTACTCAGTCAGCATCTTGCTTACATTATTGTTGTTTTTGCTATTCAGTAGGTGAAATAGTAAACAACCATATTCTTGTTTTTAAAAAAATACTTCTTTAGTTTTTCTCAGCTGAGTGGGCTTCCTATTTGACCAGGGCAGTTTGTAGCTCAAAAATAAACCGTTTCCTGCCTGAAAAAAAAAATACTTCTTTAACCTTGCTTCACATTATCTTCCCCATTCTTCTGTTCCTATTTACAGATGAACTTTGTGATAATAGACTCTCTTCTGATCTTCATTTCTTCCTATTACATTCTTTCACCCACTCAGGTTAGGGATCCATAATTCACACAAGATATTCTTAGCTTGTCCATTATTAGATAGCATATCTCAGTAGTTATCATGTAAAAACAGTATTTGATTAATTTGGGAAAGGTGTCAATTATTATTGTCAGTCCTTCCCTAAGGTATAGTTATTTTCACTAATATTGATGTAGATGACAGACCAGGGTAGGGTCAAGTCATTTACTATATTGAGAATTGAGGAACATGGTAGCATGGTACAAATGTTTAGAATGAAAGGTTTTACCATATAGTATTGCCAAGTTTTTAATACTCTTATTTTATGTTGATATCTAAATAGAAGTTACTGGATTGCTGGCATTTAAAAAGAGCAGAGTAATAATTCTGGAAACTGTAGTTCTTTGCTTGACTTAATTAAAATGTAGTATCCTATATGCTAATGTACCTTTTGCTACTGAGCTATGGGGATTCAGATACTTACAATAGAAATTCATTGTAATTGGGTTATGGACCTTATAATTTTGAGAAGATGGTCCTTAGAACGTCTTTTTTTTTGTCAGTCGTGGGGCTTGAACTCTGGGCCTGGGCACCATCCCTCAGCTCTTCAGCTCAAGGCGAGCACTCTACCACTTGAGCTACAGAACCACTTCTGGTTTTCTGGTGTTTATTGGAGATAGGAGTCTCACAGTCTTTCCTGCCCAGGCTGGCTTTGAACTATGATCCTCAGATCTCAGCCTCCTGAGTAGCTAGGATTACAGGTGTGAGCCACCAGCGCCCAGCTTAGAACGTCTTTTATTAAAGAGGAGAGTGAATTTTTGTTTTGTTATGTTTTTTGGGTCTGGTCATGGGGCCTGAACTCTGGGCCTGGGCACTGTCCCTCAGCTCTTCAGCTCAAGGCTAGCTCTCTAACACTTGAGCCACATGCCACTTCCAGCTCTTTCTGCTTATGTAATGCTGAGGAATCAAATCAAAGCCTCATGCATGCAAGGCAAGCACTCTACCACTGAGCCACCCAGCCCCTCTGGTCAATTTTTTAATGCATAAATGCCATAGCCTGTTTTGTTCAGTCTTTACTTACTTCAGCAAAACAATATTCAAATTGACAGTATACGTACCTACTCATTTTCTTCAGTTTTCAAAGTAATGAAGTCCCTCAAAAGACATCTCATGTGGTGGCATATGAACAAGTAGCCAATTAAACATTGAAAAACTACTTCTGCATGCTTTGCTCCCTTTCAGAATCTTTCAAGTAATTAATCTTTCATGTAGTTAATGAAATTTTAAATGTTTTAAAACATAAAGATGATAGTATAATTTACTTGTATATATGGCTGAGAGATTAACTTGAACTTCGGATGTTCAATTAGTATGGCAAAATCTCTTCTAATAAATAGTATGTAATTTATTTAAATTATCTCCTCACTTGAGAATTAAAATTTCATTTCCAATGAGATTATTTGAAGTTATGTTATTGCAATAGGCACTTTTAAAAATGGAAGACAGTAGTAAGGATTGTTAGGAACAGAAAAGGAAATTTACAAAATATATATGTAGTATGTTGGCTAAAGGATTCTATTAGTATTATAGTACATTAAAAGGTAAAAAAACATTATATAGCACGAAGTTCTTATAGCTAGTGGATTGGTCAGTTTAATATATGATCTCTTTACATAAATTAAAGGCTTTGGTTGAATTAGCCCAAAGTATAGAAAAATTAATGTTGGAAATTTGTTTTTAAAATATTATAAAGTTATGTGTGTGTTTAAAAATTATACTTATACAAAATGTTGAAATAAGGACACAGGATAACCCATTGTAACAATGAGACTCACAGGACACTATATTGGAAATGAACTTTACAACTTTGGGGGTGGGGAATGAGTGGTGGAGGGAAGGGATAGTAGGAGAAAAAAGAGGGGGTAACAATGCTCTACAAGAAATGTATGCATTACCTTACTCATGTAATTGTAACCCCTCTGCACAGCATCTTTACAATAAAAAAATTCACAGTTATAGCCAAAAGAATAGAAGTAATCAATGCACTTTTTTTTCTCCTTTTAGCTCCTGGAGCCTGTCTGCCATCAGCTGTTTGAGCTCTATCGTAGCTCTGAAGTTCGACTTAAGAGGTTCACACTGCAGTTCTTGCCAGAATTAATGTGGGTTTATTTACGGCTTACAGTTAGCCGAGACAGACAGAGTAATGGCTGCATTGAAGCTCTTCTCTTAGGAATTTATAATTTGGTAAGTTGAAAATGTTAGTTTATGAAGTTTAAAATATTTTTAAAGTCATATGAAATAATATTTAAGAGCTAATCAAGAAAAATAAGTGTATATCTATTAGATTTTTTTTAATTAATAAGTTTTTTTTATTGTGAAAATACTGTACAGAGGGGTTACAATTACATGGGCAAGATAATGAGTACATTTCTTATCAAGCATTGTAGACTCTTCCTTTGTTCCCCCTTCCCATCTATTAGATTTTTTTGATCTAATTGAGTATAGAGAAGAAATACTAATAAACATTTTATAAAGTCAGTGGAGCTATTGAAAAATTGTAAAATTTAATGCCTGGCTTCCATTCCTTGAAGCCACCAAACAACAAAAAAGTCATTAAATAAATCATAACTAAAAAAAAAAAGACTTTTTCTTCACAATATTTTATTTGACCAGTGTTGATGAGTGCTTTCTATATAAGGTATATTTTCTAGTAGAAAGATATGTTTATAGATGACTAATCAAGTTTTTGCATGGAAAGAGAGTTTTAGAGAGAACCTCAAAGTATTAGCTAATATTATGACAGCCTTTTCTGAGTTATGCCTCAAAAGAGATATAATTTTGATAGATTGAGATTGTGAGTAAGTAAGATTTCAGGAAAAATTAATCAATTCAGCATAAACAAAGAAGCAGAAAAGTCTAGTTTTGACCTGGAAAAAGGAAATGATTCTGTTTGAAGCACAGAATACATATGCAAGCTAGGAGAAATTATTTTATATGAGTATTGGAGTCTTTTAATTTATTATTATTGTTATTATTATTATTTGTTGGTTGTGGGGCTTGAACTCTGGACCTGGGTGCTATTCCTGAGCTCTTCAACTCAAGGCCAGTGCTCTATCACTTGAGCCACACTACCACTTCCGGTTTTATGGTGGTTTATTGGAGGTGAGTCTCATGGACTTTCCTGCCCAGGCTAGCTTTCAACCGTGATCCTCAGATCTCAGCCTCCTTAGTAACTAGGATGTGAGCCACCAGCGCCCGGCTTGGAGAGTCTTTTTTTTTTTGGCTGGTCATGGGGCCTGAATTCTGGGCCTGGGCCCTGTCCCTCAGCTCTTCAGCTCAAGGCTAGCATTCTACCACTTGAGTCACAGCTCCACTTCTGGCTTTTTTTCTGCTTATGTGGTACTGAGGAATTGAACCCAGGGCCTCATGCATGCAAGGCAAGCACTCTACCACTGAGCCACCTTCCCAGCCCCTGGGAGAGTCTTTTTTAAAAGTGAAGAGTTTAGATTTTCTTTAGTAAGTATTGGGTAACTAATTGGAGAATTTTGAGCAGAAAAATTTTATTGTGTATTAGGAACATGAATCTAGTTAATATTCAAACTGTTGTAAGTTGAATATAATTATATTTTGAAAGTAAAATATGTAACTAAAATGAGAAGTAGACATGAAATTTGTATTTCTTAAGGGGAGAATATCAAGGGGCAAAGTACATATTATGATTTATTCTGGAAACTAGAGAGAGAAAAGAAACCACAGTAACACTTTGGAGATGCTAGGGCCCAATGTAGAATTTGAAGACTGAGACTTGAATACTTTAGTTTTTCTTTGTATTGAGAGCTCAAATTCTTGCTCAGCTTTTTTCATTCACAGCTGGTACTCTACAATGTGAGCCATGCTTCCAGTTCTGGCTTTTTTCTGGTTAATTAGGGATAAGAGTCTCTTGGAGTTGCATTGCTAGCTTGGAACTGTGATTTTTAGACCTCAGCCTCCTGAGTAACTGTTATATAGGGGAGTGAGCCATCAGCACCTAGCTTGATTATTTCTTATAGATGGAAAAGGTACCTGAAAGCGAGAACCTAAAAGTTTACAACGACCATAGAAAGCAAGGTGAAAGGTGGAGAGAATTTATGAACATTCACATAAGACACTTCTGAAGATTTAGTCAGCAAGGAAATAAAATAATACAACATTGTGTTTCTACTTTTATGTATCTCTGTTGTTACCAGAACTCACTGAATTTGACTTTTATGAGAATGTCATTGAGGAAAGAATGGTTGACAGATCAATTACATAGGCTTCTATTTAATTTTAGGATCTAAGGTTTGTTTATATAATATTTCAATTCAAATGATAACATTTTGGGGTTTGGGATAGTCAAATGGTAAATAATTTGTGTAATAAGACCAGACCCAGAGGTCAAACTCTAATATGACCAATCCCACTTCCAAAAGAATAGCACTTTTTTCAAAATGTAGTTTGATCATAAAAATTTGACATAGCAATTTGTAAATTTATTAATAATCATATGCACTTGATACAATATTGTTTGAGATTTTCCTTCAAAGGAATTCTTAAATACCTTGGATATAACTATTCTGTTCTGCTATCATCAGGACTTTGTATTGAAGCTTTTGCCTTTGAAGTCTTGTACTCTGTGTATTCAGTGTTCTTTGTAAGCACACTAAAGTTTAGTTTTATAGTTAGGAGATAATAAAATACTAGAAAATCCAGTCTTATGGTAAATAAATATTCTTCTGTATTAGTGCTCACTCCTCAAAGTTCTATCACTTGAAAAATCATTAGAAAACATTTTTATCACAAGCGGTCTGGAGGAAAGAGCGTAGGTTTTAGGAACCATTGATTTCAGTTTAAAACCATGTTCTCTTTATTGACTATTTTCAATTAGAACAAGTTATTTAATGTCTTGATTTCAGTTGCCTATCTGTAATGAGACATTGTTGCTAGGATTAGATAGAACTTGAGCCCTGATGCTGGTGACTCACACCACTGATCCTAGTTACTCAGAAGGCTGAGATCTGAGGATTGTGGTCCATAGCCAGTTGGGGCAGAAAAGTCTGTGAGACTTTTATCTCTAATTAACCAACAAAATCTGGGAGCATAAGTGTGGCTCAAATGGTTGAGCTCCAATCTTGAGGAATCTAGCTTAAGTATAAAGTGGTTTTTTTGGCGGTTGTGGGGCTTGAACTCTGGGCCTGGGTGCTGTTCCTCAGCTCTTCAGCTCAGGGCAAGCACTTACCACTTGAGCTACAGCGCCACTTCTGGTTTTCTAGTAGTTTATTGGAGATAGGAGTCTCATGGTCTCTCCTGCCCGGGCTGGCTTTGAACCGTGATCCTCAGATCTCAGCCTCCTGAGTAGCTAGGATTACAGGCGTGAGCCACCGGCGCCCGGCTAAGTATAAAGTATTTAATAAACATTTTTCATTTCTTTTGTTGTTGTTGGTTGTGGGGGCTGGACTCTGAGCATGAGCGCTGTCCCTCAGCTCTTCAGCTCAAGGCTAGTGCCCTACCACTTCAGTCACAGCACCAGTTCTGGCTTTTTTCTGCCTATGTGTGGTGCTCAGGAATTGAACCAAGGGCCTCATGCATGTGAAACAAGCATTCTATCACTAAGCCAACTTCCCAGCCCCTAAACATTTTCATTTCTAATGTCTTAATATAGTTTTTAGTAAAAAGATATTAGAAATAAAACTCTAACTTACCTGATATTTTCTCTTTTAAAGCAAGAAATTGTTATTTATTACTGTTTCTTATACACTTACCAACTTAGTAAATGTTTGCTGATTTTATAGTTTAGTGTTTTAGTTTATTTAAAACTAAGCTATCATTTGTATAGTATAGTAAAATTCAGTAATGAGGCAAATGAAATAAAATGTTTTGCAAAGGTAAGCTATTGATATTAACTTATTGGCTCTGTGGTTTAATGATCTTTTGATGTCTCAAAAATAAGTATACTATAAAAATGCTCTTTATAACTGGGCAGGGCAGGAAATTCCTACTGTTATCTCCAGCTAACCACCAAAAAGTTGGAAGTTAAGCTGTTTCTTAAGTCTAGAGGGCTAGACTAGACCCTGGGTTCAAACCCCTGGACTGGCACACACACAAAGAATGCTCATTAAATATCAGAAATACAACTTCAGGCTTCTGACTTTTTTTAATTCTCTTGATAATGCTTTCCTTTATTTGTAGTTCTCAGGTTTTCTTCTTCATTCTCATTTTTTTTCTTTTTTTCCTAGGCATTTCTTTTATCTCAAAACTACAGAGGGGCGTTTTATGTTGCCCTCAATAAATACTAGCATATCTTGCTCCATAACTACACAAAAAGATGTACGACAGTATTTGGCTTGAGCTGTGTGCTGATGGCTCATGCCTGTAATCCTATCTACTCAGGAGGCTGAGATATTTCCAAGCCAGCCTGGGCAGGAAATTCTGTGAGATTCTTACCTCTAATTACCCACCAGAATACCAGAAGTGGTGCTGTGGTAGAGCACTTGTCTTCAGCAAACAAAGCTCAGGGACAGTGTTCATGTCCAGAGTTCAAGCCCCAGGACCAGCAATCAAAAAAAAAAAAAAGTAGTTGGGAAACAAAGGAGGAAGCTACAATGCTTGATAAGAAATGTACTCATTATCTTGCCCATGTAATTGTAACCCCTCTGTACAGTATTTTCACAATAAAAAAAAAGAAAAAAACGTAGTTAGCTTGGGTTTGAAATTTAGAAAGAAAAAATTAATTCTCTTGCTTGATATAAATCAACCTTTTTAATCTTAGCATAAACATGACCAGATGTAATGGTCACTAGAAGCTGCATGAGTTCTCTAGGAACTTTTTCTGCCAAAATTAGACATATGGTCACTGCCCACCAGTAATTAGTATTCTCCTGTGACATAATAAACTCAGAAATGAGCTCTGTTGGGAAATTCGTTGAGGTTTGTATTTTGGTGATCATACTTGTCCTTACTGTCTTTTCTTTTTATGTTGTATAGCTATTCAGTCTCTGACTACCTACTGTCCAGGCCTTCTGGGAGAAATCTTTGTATGAATTTTACTAACTTGAATTGAAAAAGAAATACAAAAGTAAGGTAATAGGGAAAAGAAGAGCTGCAGCACTACTTTATTCCAGACTGCTGTTGTATGTAGGCTGATGCTAAGCTAAGCAGAACTTGAGGCTCAAGAGACTAGAGAAATGAAGAATACCATTGGTCAATTATACAAAGAAAAAGTGCTTTAAAAAAAATCATAAGGAGCTGGTTGTGGTGGCACACACCACGTATAATACCAGCAATCAGGAGGCTAAGATAGAATATGATTTGGAGGCCAGCCTAGGCCTATAGAATGAGACTCTGTCTCAAAACAATAGCCACAAAAATCCCACAAGGAAAAAAATCACAATAATTTTCTTTCAGTTTAATGGAAATCATCTAGATATGTACTTACTTTAATTACATGGACTAATATTTTTTGTATTAATGTGTAACCTGTTTCAGGTCATGGTTTATTGCAGCATGATTGTTAAGACTTTCTAGTTAGCTTGATCATGATAATATCATAGTGTAAGCATACCACATTACACACTATAATTACAAGTAATTTGTATTATTTATGTTTCAATAAACCTAGAACAAATTCATCATGTATTTGAATGTGTATTCCTTGTTTTAGTATGAATCTCTTCACTAAGATCTTTTTTTTTATTTTTTTTGGTCAGTCATGGGGCTTGAACTCTGGGCTTAGGCACTGTCCCTCAGCTCTTCAGCTCAAGGCCAGTGCTCTACCACTTAAGCCACAGTGCCATATCTGGTTTTCTAGTGGTTTTATTGGAGGTAAGAGTCTTACAGACTTTCTTGCCCAGGCTGGCTTTGAACTGTGATCCTCAGAGCTCAGCCTTCTAAGTAGCTAGGATTACAGACATGAACCACTGTCGCCCAGCTTGACTAAGATCTTTAATTATAATGTTTTGCTTAATGGTGCTTCTCCTAAAAGATCTAGTCACTGTTCTGTGTATAAATTTGACCCCCCAAAAAACCTTTTTTTTTTTGCATTTGATTCAATATTGTGTTCATTTTCTCTGGATTATAATTGAACTACCAAAGCACACAAGTTTGCTAAGAGGTTAGAAAAGAGCCAGGCTCCAGTGTCTCACGCCTATAATCCTAGCTACTCAGAAGGATGAGAATTGAGAATAGCGGTTAAAAGCCAACTCAGGCGTGAAAGTCCTTGAGACTCTTTTTTTTTTAAATTTAATTAATTTTATTTGTGAACATACTGTACAGAGGGGTTACAATTACATGGGCAGGATAATGCGTACATTTCTTACCAAGCATTGCAGCCTCCTCCTTTGTTTACCCTTCACATCCCTTCCCAGCCTCCCTCCTCCCCCCCCCAAGTTCTTGAGACTCTTATCTCCAGTAACCACCAGAAAACTGGAAGTGGTGCTGTGGCTCAAGAGTATTTGCCTTGAGCTGAAGAGCTCAGGGACATTGCCCAGGCCCAGAGTTCAAGCCCCACGAATGACCAAAAAAAAAGCTAGAAAAGATATGATAGGCTGGTAAAATTTGTATATGTTACTATTTCTAAAACCGCCTTCCTTAATTAACAGTGATACATTCTGTAAATTAAGAGTAATATTTCATAGTATAGATCTAAGATTATCTGTCTTTGTATATTTTTTGACTGTAGGAAATTGCTGATAAAGATGGGAACAATAAAGTGCTGTCTTTCACTATTCCTTCCTTGTCCAAGCCTTCCATATACCATGAAGTAAGTAATACTGAATAAATAACAATAATAGTTATATTCAGTAATGGATTCAAAGTCCGCTTTTTAAAAACTTGAGTGACTTGTTTCTTAAAAGTAGATATTTTTATAGTAGTGATATAGTGATATCAGACTGATTTGTGGCAGAAGAGGCAGAAAGTAGTTAATGCAATATTTTTTCTAGTTTTTGTTTCTCAGTTCATGAGTTTCATTTTTATCATATAATTAGTAATATAGAAACGTTAGGAAACAAAATCTATCTTACCTTACTTAACATGTTTTTATTTTGTCTCAGTATCATTTTTAACTTTCAAATTAATTTTTATGACTTTTCAAAGATACTATTTTCTTAGTCTTCTGTATTACTTTGGAATTACCTTTGTTAAAATAAAAAATGTCAATCTTTGTTAAAGTTATTCCTTAGAAAATGACTACCTAGAAGAATATTAACACTGTTCTAATAAATACATTATAGCTGTTTAATAACATTAAGCTTTTTTGGTTCATATTTACTTGACTGAATAAAATGAGAACATTGATGATTAAATATGAAGGAAATGCTGTTAAGCTTCCTTCTTACCTTCTCCATGTAAAATAAAATAAGGAAATGCATTAAGAATCAAAATTGACTGTTGTGGTATTCAGAGCAGAAAGTTGTGAAGAAGGCATTAAAGAAGTTTACATTTCACATGAACACACCGTATCCTCTTTGTCTTAGCTCTGTGCAGCTTAAAAATTTCTTAATTAGTTTCCCTGGAACTTTGTTTTATGTTAGAAGTAGAATGTTTCTGACTTAGCCAGGACTCATCTTATCATAGAATATTTCTGAGTAAAAGATTTGTGTTATGAAATAAAATGGAAGCTAGCCAAGCACTAATGAATAGATAATTCTTCTAACTTGAGAAATATAACATCAATATCATAATCTTCAATATTGTTTGTATTACACAATTATAAACACTTATATTTTGTGTTCTGAAATATATATTAAAATTATTTACTTTAATCCTTAAGTGTTCGTTTTCTTTTTTCTGGTCTTGGGGCTTGAACTCAAGACCTTGGTCCTGTCCCTGAATCACTTTGTTCTCAAGGCTAGTGCTGTATCACTTGCACCACAGTGCCACTTAGGCTTTTTCTTAGTAATTTATTGGAGGTAGAGTCTCACAGACTTTCCTACCCAGGCTGGCTTCAAACTGTGATCCTCAGATCTCAGCCTCCTCGGTAGCTAGATTACAGGCATAAGCCACTGGCGCCTGGCCTTTTATTAAATCTTTTCAGCAACTAGTCTTATTGTTCTTACATATCCATAAACTTTAAAAAGTAAAGTACTACATGTATAGTTTTATGCATTTTACACACATTTCCAAAAAAATCTGTGTAGTATAACTGAAAAGCAAAGTATTTTTTAAAAAGAATTAAGATATTTGAAGCTGCTTTTTTTTTTTTTTAAGTTTTTTGTTGTTGTTGTTGGTCATGGGGCTTGAACTCTAGGCTTGGGCACTATCCCTCAGCTCAAGGCAAGCGCTCTGCTGCTTAAGCCACAGTGCCACTTCCTGTTTTCTAGTGGTTTATTGGAGATAAGAGTCTCACGAACTTTCCTGCCTGGACTGGCTTTGAACGTGATCCTCAGATCTCAGCCTCCTGAGTAGCTAGAATTACAGGCATGAGCCACTGGCGCCCTGCAGCAATTTGTTTTTATTGTGATTAAGTGATTATATAAATTTCAAAAATTTCACAGTATTGTGGGATAGTGATACGTAGTTAAAGTTTTAAACACATTCTAACCTTCATGGGGCAAATTGTCTTTATCCTGGTCTATAAAGTTTGTGAATTGTATGAGCTTTTACAATACAGATATTTCTTCCACTTCGGGTGATATGTACATTTCTTTCCTTTTGCATAGCATCAGCATTTCCCTCCCTCCCATCGCTGCCATTGAGTTGCTTAGTTTGTTTTGATCAATGTCCAATGCTGTTGATGGGTTCCGCTGTTGTATGTTTTCCTCTGTTTCTGTGTCCTCCTCCTAGTTTCCCTCCGATGTGCACATATATACCATATATGTGGTCAGCAGCATGGGGCCATTTAGTAATGATTCGACCAGATGAGTGGAGGGCCTTTGTTTCTTGAGTCTTGTTTACTTTGTCATATCTCCTTATGTTTTAGATTTAACATCCATTTATCAGGGAGACCATGTGCCATTTGTCTCTTTGCTCTTGGCTTACCTAATTCAACATGATTTCTTCTAGTTCCATCCATTTTATTTAAACAAAATTAAATGTAACTGCATGATACAGATTTTTACTTCATTTTAGAGAAACTATTTTATATTATACCTTATTTTTGTAGCCCTCAACAATTGGATCCATGGCTTTGACAGAAGGGGCATTGTGTCAGCATGATCTCATCAGAGTTGTTTATAGTGATCTTCATCCTCAGAGGGAAACATTCACTGCACAAAATCGGTAACAATGAAAACTGTAAAAAGTAACCATTGTGAATTTATGCTTAATAATTCTAATCAATTTAGTTCAAATTTCATATAAGAGATCCAAAGTTAAATACATCATAGTATAGTGAAGTAAAATTCGGATGCAGATCGCTAATTTAAAAAATGTGAAATACAGAATGATGAATTTTTGTGCTGAAGGCTAAAACTCTGCAATTTGAGCCAAAGCTCCACCTTCAGCTTTTTTTCTTTTTTTCTTTTTTTTGCTGGTCATGGGACCTGAACTCAGGGCCTGGGTGCTGTACCTCAGCTCTTCAGCTCAAGACTAGCACTCTACCACTTGAGCCACAGCGCCAATTCCGGCTTTTTCTGCTTATGTAGTGCTGAGGAATCAAACCCAGGGCCTCATGCATGCAAGGCAAGCACTCTACCACTGAGCCACCTTCCCAGCCCCTCAGCTTTTTGATGTTAATTGGAGATAAAAGACTTTCCTCCCCAGGCTGGCTTCAAACCATGTTCTTCAAATCTCAGCCTCCTGAGAAGCTAGGATAACAGTTGTAATAAGCCTTTTACATACCTAATGTGGAACCAGATTTAGAAACCTTTTCTTAGAGTCTGTATAAAGACTGAGAAAGCATTTAAATACTTACTAAGCTGTTCTGTTAGACATTACTGGACATTAACAATAGAGAAGAAAAAAAATCTCAGAATTTGTGTTCTACAGTTATTTACTACTAAATGGGGGAAATAGTGTTAGAGGCACAGAATTAACAGTTCTGTAGGATAAATGTTCTTTTAGATCTACACAAATAAGGACCAGTTCCCTTTAGCTGGAATAATTAAGAATGGCTTTACAACGAAGTTAACAATTTGATCCTGGGAGTGTAGCTTGGTGGTAGAGTGCTTGCCAATAGGCACAAGGTCCTGGTTTGATCCCTAGCACCATCAACCCCTGTATTCCCCTACAGACAAAAATGAGGATAGATCTTGAAGCTTTAGCAGGAATTTCAAAAAAAAGAAATACTACATTTTAATAGGAAGGAGCAGCATGTATAAAAGCAAGAATTTATGAAAGTCTATAGCATATTCATGGAATCCTAAGTAGAGTGATATGGTGTGGTACTTGTGCTGGGCAGTGGAGGGAGAATAAGGCTGGGAAGGTAGGTTGAAGGTAGGTTTTAAAGGACCTTATACTAAAGAGTTCATTATTTTAAAAGATTGTGGGAGAAGTTTGCATTCTATCATGTAATTAATGGGAAGACTGTAGACTTCTATTATTAGGAAAGTCATCTGCTCAAGCATGATGATTCGTTTGAAAAAGAAAATATAGATAGCAGCAAGGTTTATGACTAATCTAATTGAGAAGTCATGAAGGCAATATTGTAACCATCCAGTGAACAAATAATTTACAATAGTTGCTAGTAAAAATAGATTTTTGTAATTATTTTCTGTTATTTTCCTTAGGTTTGAAGTCCTGAGTTTTCTCATGTTGTGCTATAATTCTGCCATTGTGTATATGCCAGCCTCATCATACCAGTCTCTTTGTCAGATGGGCTCCAGGTGATTGTTAAATTTCATATTCAGTTAACTGACAGATATTTACTGACCATATTCTTTATGCTAGACACTATTCTAATTTTGTGATATACAACTTGTACATAGCCTAGATAAAATTTAAAGTTGCATGATAGAGCAAAATTTAAGTAATAATTTTGTGTCATAGAATTTGAATTTTGAGTAGAGGAAACAAACTCCTACCCATAGTTAAATGATGTATGTTTCTGTTGATGTATGACAAATTACCATGGATTTAGTGACTAAACATCACACATTTATATCATTATTTATACCATTATTTCTGTAGGCTAGAAATGTAGATCTGGCTGGGTCCTCTCCTTATGGTCTTTCAGGGCTACAGTTAAGATGTCCCATGCAGATGTAAGATGTAGTCTCATCCAAGTCTCAACTTTTTGTTGTCAGACTAATGTTCCTTTGGGTGTAGGACTATGAGTTTCCACTTTCTTTTTTCCCTAGTTCTTTTTGTAAAAATTGGTATATATTATATAAAATAATGGGCTTCATCATTTTCACATACACACACAATATATATACTTTGATCACATTCATCCATGCTTCAGTTTCTTATTGGCTGTCTGGTGGAGTCTGTCTTCAGGTTTTTTATTTTATTTTATTTTTTGGGGGGTAGGGGACTGGTCTTGGAGTTTAAATTCGGGGCCTGAACAAAACCTCAGCAATAGCTGAGTTTTTTTTGCTCAAGCTAGCACTCTAGATAGATAATTCTATCTATCTAGCACTTTTGGCTTTTTTTGGTGCTTAATTGTAGATAAGAGTCTCACTTTCTTGTCCAGCCTGGCTTTGAGCAACAGTCCTCAGATCTCAGCCTCTTGAGGAGCTAGCATTACGGGCATGAGCCACCAGCTCTTAGCCAATCCTCAGTTCTATGGCACCTGGTACCCACATGTGCCTTCCAACATAGGTAGCTTATAACACGGCAGCTTGCTTAGAATTCATCCCCTTTGCCTTATTCATTTGGCTAGAAGTAAGTCATAGGTCCAACCCTCAGGATCCTACAGGGGATGACACATGGAACATACATACTAGAAAGGAGAGATTTGAAGGGTAAACAAAAGGAGGAGGCTGCAATGCTTGGTAAGAAATGTACGCATTATCCTGCCCATGTAATTGTAACCCCTCTGTACAGTATGTTCACAAATAAAATTAAATTAAATTTAAAAAAAAAAAGAAAGGAGATAGCATAGGGATTGTGGCCCTCCAGAATTGTACTTGATATGCTGTTGTGTTAGTGGGAGGAAAGTTCAGTCCTAACTATAATAAAAATTATTAGTTTTTCTAATAATGTTAGCAGTGTTAGAAGTTTAATAAAATTAGGTTTTTGTTTTTTAAGCTATTCAGATAAGCTTTTTAAGTGACTATTTTGGTTCATTGAAAGAAATCTGCCATCTCTCTTATTGGCAGTATTATTATGGTATTGATAGAGTTTCTTAATAACAAAAGTGGTGGCAGAGTTTTTACAAGCTTGATTGTATATTCCTTGGGGAATTTTGAAAAACTTGATATCTCTTAGGTCCATTCTTAAGTTGAAATTAAAAATTTTCCTTCTATTTTAGTTAGTTGCAAATGACAGAATTTCTTGCAAATGATAGAATTTCCAGTGGTTGAATATTGATGAATTTTAAAAATTGAAGCTGGGTGCCAGTGGCTCATGCCTATAATCCTACCTACATAGGAGGCTGATATCACAGAATTTTAGTTTGAAGCTAGTCTGGGAAGACAAGTCTAAGACTCTTACCAGAGTCTCCATTTAAGTAGCAACAGTCTGGAAGTGGAACTGTGGCTCAAATGGTAGAGCATCAGTCTTGAGCAAAAAAGATAAGTGGGGGCTGGGAAGGTGGCTTAGTGGTAGAGTGCTTGCCTTGCATGCATGAGGCCCTGGGTTCGATTCCTTGGCACCACATAAGCAGAAAAGGCCAGAAGTCAGGCTGTGGTTCAAGTGGTAGAGCACTAGCCTTGAGCAGAAGAGCTTAGGGACAGTGTCCAGACCCAAACCTCACGACCAACCAGAAAAAAAAAAAAAGATAAGGGGAAGCTCAAGGCTCTGAGTTCAAGCTCTAATACCGACACAGAAAAATAAAATAAAAATTATCTTGTGTATATAATGCAAATGCTACAACAATTTGATAAATACTATTATCCATTGAGGAATGAAAAAAGCAAGACTGTTCTTTAAAGTCTAATATTATCTTACACTATTTTTTCTTTCTTTTTGTTGGTCATGAGTCTTGAACTTAGGGCCTGGGCACTGACCCTGAGATTTTTGGCTTAAGGCTAGTACTCTACCACTTGAGCCATAACTCCACTATTTTGTGTGTGTGTGTGTGTGTGTGTGTGTGTGTGTGTGTTGGGGTGTTTTTTGGGAGGGCGGTATTTTTACTTTGTGTGTGTGTGTGTGTGTGTGTGTGTGTGTTGGGGTGTTTTTTTGGAAGGCGGTATTTTTACTTTCCTGCCTACACTGGCTTTTTGAACCACAATGTTAAGATCTCAGCCTTATAGCTGTATAGCTAGGATTGTAGGTGTTAGCCCCAGGACCTGGCTTTTTTTTTTTTTTGAAACAGTCTTTACTATGTCTCAGAACTTAAATTTTTGGGAAGCATCTCATTTCACAGTTCTTTCTCTCCTCTGGTATTTCCGACAGAAGTGGCAGCTTCTATTTGGCATAATGGCTCCTTTTAGAGCTCTTGTGAAGCCTAAGATCCCCAAAAAGGGGACCAAAAATTTTATCTGGCAATAAGGAGGCTGGTAACTGACAGAAACCAGAGGTTTACTGCTTGCTTGCTTGTTTGTTATGTGTCAGTCCTGGGGCTTGAATTCAGGGCCTGGGCACTGTCTGAGATTTTGAATTCAAGGCTAGTGCTCTACCACTTCAGTAACAGCTCTACTTCCAGCTTTTTGGTACTTTAATTTCCTGCCCAGGCCGGCTCTGAATTGTGATCCTTAGATCTCAGGCCTTCTGAGTAGCTAGGCTTACAGACAAGTGTGAGCTCCAGGTTAACAGTCTTTGAACAGTCTCTTCAGAAGGCCAGATCTTAGTTATGGGAGCAATAGGAATACAAAGAACATGCTGCCTAGTAACTTTTGGAAAACTGTGGACTATAGCATATGGAACTGCTATATGCAACAAACCTTACTGGCTGAGATTATACACAGTGTATTCATTATGGGAGGAGCAGCCCAAGTAGCCAATCCAATGCTAGGCTTTACCACCAAGAATATTAATAGACAGCTCATATGTGTGTTTTATTTCACTTACATAAAATAATAAAACTGTCAAATAATTAAAATAATAATAGTCGACATGCAACAGTATTTTAAAATGTCCTCTAGTAATTTAGTAATTCACTCTTATGACTTGAATAAAAGATATGTATTGTGTGTAGAAAGATGTTTGTGAAAGAGAAAGAAACGTAGATATCTGAGAAAAATTGTTTCTTTTATTGATATAATACACTAGAGTGTATACTTTATGAGTGGGGCGCAGATCTTTTTTGAATCTTTGACTTGTTCATAAATGTATTTGAGACTCAGAACAGTGACTATTAATAGGTACTTGAAAACTGAATAATGGAGCAATTTATGAAAGCAAAAACCTATATTGAATGAACCAGAAAGTTACACATACTATTATATTTTCCTAGGGTTTGTGTGAGTGGGTTTCCACGGCAACATGAAAAACCCTGGAAGGAACTCTGTGGTCGAATAGTAGTGGATCCTGAATTTATGGTGCAACTTCTCACTGGGGTTTATTATGCTATGTAAGTTTGTGGAATCCGAAATTGTATGACTTGCCTAACGTTTGAAAGTTTTTCTGTTTTTTCTCTTTCTGCCTTATGGACACAATACAAAATCTTTTGTTCCATAGTAAGCATGTTACTTTGTTTTCCTGATACTATTTCCTATCAATATTTTTATTTTTTATTTATTTAATTTTGTTGGTCATGGGGCTTGAACTCTTGGTGCTGTTCCTCAGCAATTCAGCTCAAGGCTAGCACTCTACCACTTGAGCCAGCAACACTTCTGGCTTTTTCTGTTTATGTGGTACTGAGGAATCGAACCCAGGGCCTCCTGTGTTCAAGGCAAGCACTCTACCACTGAGCCACCTTGCCAGCCTCTATCAGTATTTTTAAAATAGGCAATATATAACTCATCATTAACTGGAATCATCTTAGAAATTTTCAGGTTTTCCATACTGAAAACTATGTACCTCTGGGTTCATAATCCAAGTTTTCATGAATACATTAAATAGATTACTCTAAATATCAACACTTGGTATGCAACAATTTTTTTTTTTTTGCCAGTCCTGGGGCTTGAACTTGGGGCCTGGATGTTGTCCCTGAGTAGCTTTTGCTCAAGGCTAGCATTCTACCTACCTGAGCCACAGCACCATTTCTGGCTTTTTCGAAACATTTTTATGAAGAAACATCTATATCTACTTTAAACATAGTATTTGAAATTATCTATAATTTGTTACTGCAACCCAAACTGAGGCCATTTAGGAATAAAATGATTTCAAAAATAAATATGAGCCAGGTGCTGGTGGCTCACATCTATAATCCCTAGCTACTCAGGAGGCTGAGATCTGAGGATCTCAGTTCAAAGCCAGCCCAGGCAGAAAAGTCCATAAGACTCTTATCTCCAATAAACCACTAGAAAACCAGAAGTGGCGTTGTGGCTCAAGCAGTAGAGCGCTCGCCTTGAGCTGAACAGCACAAGTACAGCGCCCAAGCCCAGAGTTCAAGCCCCATGACTGACAAAAAAAAAAAAATAGATATGAAAAGTCTCAACCAAAAGTAGGATTTGGAACAATTTTTTTAAGTTGTTTTGAACATTAAAGATATTTACTGGGTCATAGGAGAGTTCTATGTGTAGTCTTTTGAGGAACCTCCATACTGCTTTCCAGAGTGGTTGAACAAGTTTACACTCCAACAATGCAGTAGGGTTCCCTTTTGGCCACATCCCCTCTAGCATCTGTTGTTATTAGATTTTTTTATTATAGCCGTTCTAACTGGGGTGAGGTAGAATCTCAATGTTGTTTTGATTTGCCTTTCTTTTATGGCTAGAGAAGTTGAGCATTTCTTCATGTATCTATTGGCCATTCTTATTTCCTCTTCAGAAAAATCTCTTTAAGTCTTTAGCCCACTTATTAATGGGGTGCTTGTTTCTTTGGGGATTTGTTGTTGGAGGATTTAATTTTTTGAGTTCTAAGTATATTTTAGAATGAGGCCCTAGTCCATTGTATAACTAGTGAAGATCTTCTCCGTGGACCTTCTACTGATCTTGCTAGTTATGACCTTTGCCATGCTGAAGCTCTGCAGTTTCATACAATCCCATTTGTTCAACCTTTCTTTGATTTGTTGTGTTTCTGAGTCTTTATTAAGAAAATTTCATCCTGTGCCAAAGAGTTGTAGAGTTTCTCCTATTCCTTCCTGTAATATTTTCATGAAGTCTGCTTTTATTTGAGGTCTTTGATCCATTTGGAGTTGATTCTGGTACAGGGTGATATATAAGGATCTAGCTTTAGTTTTTCTTTTTTTTTTTCTTTTTTTGTCGGTCGTGGGGCTTGGGCGCTGTCCCTCAGCTCTTCAGCTCAAGGCGAGCGCTCTACCACTTGAGCTACAGTGCCACTTCCAGTTTTCTGGTGGTTTATTGGAGACAGGAGTCTCACCGTCTCTCCTGCCCGGGCTGGCCTCGAACCGCGATCCTCAGATCTCAGCCTCCTGAGTAGCTAGGATTACAGGCGTGAGCCACCAGCGCCCGGCTAGCTTTAGTTTTTCTACAGGTGTTTAACCAATTTTGCCAGTAGCATTTATTGAAGAGGCTGTGTTTCTTCCATTCTACACATAGAGCTCCCCTATGACCCAGCAATCCCACTTTTGAACATTTACCCAGACAATCACAAACAAGACCATACAAAAGCTGACAGCACAACTATGTTTATCACAGCATTATTCACCATAGCTAAGATATGGAACCAACCCAGATGTAAGCAAAAAGAAAAAAGCCGGAAGTGGCACTGTGGCTCAAGTGGTAGAGTGCTAGCCTTGAGCTGAAGAGCTGAGGGACAGCACCCAGGCCCAGAGTTCAGGCCCCATGACCGGACCCAAGCCCCCCCCCCCAAAAAAAAAAAGAAAATGGGGTGTGTGTGTGTGTGTGTGTGTGTGTGTGTGTGTGTGTATGATGGAATTCTATGCCTCCATCAGAATGCAACTGCCCCATTTGTTAGGAAATGGAAAGACTTGGAAAAAATTATATTAAGTAAGACAGGCCCAAAGAAACATAGGTCCTATGGCTTCCCTAATTGGTAATAACTAGTATATGTCTAGGACAAGCAGAAAACATCAAAAGCAATGCACATATGACCAAATAAGATGATGCTAAGCAAAATGAACCCCAGGATAGGAATAAAAGAGGTTTTGTCTTTGTTGCTGTTGTTTTTAAATGTACTTATAATGCACTATGTGATTTTTTTTTGTTTGTTTCTCTTGTATGTTCTTCCCTCATGGTATAACCCCTGTATTCACTGTATGTGATTCTGGTGCCCTGCATCTTGTATATACATTTTTCTAATTTGGGAAGAGGAAGGGAAATAACAAAAAGCTGAAATAAGGATACAGGTTGACCCCTTTTAACAACGAGATTTACAAGACACGATGTTGAAAATGAACTTTACAACTTTGGGATGGGGAAGGAGGAGGTGGGGAGGGAAAGGATGGTAGAGGAAAAACAAAGGAGGGTGTAACAATGCTCTATAGCATTGTTCAAGAACATTATCTTACTCAAGTAACTGTAATCCCTCTACAGTATTCTTACAATAAAAAGTGTATATATATATATATATATATATTTTTTTTTAAGATATTTATTGTTCTGGGAAGGTGGCTCAGTGGTAGAGTCTTGCCTTGCATGCATGAGTCCCTGGGTTCAATTCTTAGCACCACATTCGCAGAAAAAGCCGGAAGTGGTGTTGTGACTCAAGTGGTAGAATGCTAGTCTTGAGCTGAAGAGCTGAGGGACAGCACCCAAGCCCAGAGTTCAGGCCCCACTACTGACAAAAAGGAAAGAAAGAAACAAAGATATTTAGTAGCCAGTTGTCTCTAATCCTAACCACTCAGGAGTCTGAGATCTAAGGATCTCAGTTCAAAGCCAGCCCAGGCAAGAAAGTCCATGAGTCTCTTATCTCCAGTTAACCACCTCCAAATCAGATGTGGCACTCAACATGTTAGAGTACTGGCTCTAAGTGAAAAAACTCAGCGACAGCACCCAAGTCCTGAATTCAAGCCCCATGGTGGGGGGGGGGGGAGGGGGGGGGGAGGGAGGAGGGGGGTTGGGAATGTTTACTAAAAAACACATGATCTGCTTTTCTATAGGTATAATGGACAGTGGGACCTTGGCCAAGAAGTACTTGATGACATCATTTATAGAGCGCAACTAGAACTCTTTTCTCAACCACTATTGGCAAGTTATTTTATTTGCTGTGTGTGTGTGTGTGTGTGTGTGTGTGTGTGTGTGTGTGTGTGTGTGTTTCTGTGTTCTTATGGGGGCTTGAATTCAGGGCCTCATGTTCTCACTTGGCTTTTTAACTCAAGGCTGATGGTTGAGTCACACCTCCATTTCTGTTTTTTTGCTGGTAATTGTCTCAAATTTGTCTGCTTGGACTGGCTTTGAACTGCAGTTTTCAGATCTCAACTTCCTGAGTAGTTATGAGTATATTCATGAGCAACTGGTGACTGGCTTCTTTCTTTTTTCTTTTGCCAGTCCTGGGGCTTGAACTCAGGGCCTGGGCACTGTTCTTGAACTTTGTTTGCTCAAGGCTAGCACTCTACCACTTGAGCCACAGCACCACTTCTGGCCTTTTTTGTGTATGTGGAACTGAGGAGTTGAACCAGGGCTTCATACATGCTAGGCAAACACTCTACTACTAAGCCACATTCCCAGCCAACCCTATTTTTTCTTTCATAAAGATCAGAAGTTTAGCCAGGCTCTGATGAATCATGCTTGTAATCCTAGCTACTCAGGAGGCTGAGAGCTGAGGATCACCGTCCATAGCCAGTTGGAACAGAAAAGTTTGTGAGACTCTTGCCTCTTTGAGCTGAGGCTCAAAGTGGTAGACCACTAGCTTTGAGCAAAAAGAGCTCAGGGACAGCATTCAGCCTCTAAGTTCAAGTCCCATGACGAACAAAAAAAGAAAGAATGAATAGAGGTTTATTTTTCTAGAGGCTTGCTTATTCTTCATTAAGTATATCTGTGCCTAAAAGTGGCACTAGTATATTTCATACAGAATAAAAGTAAAGTTCAAGTAAACTAAAGAATTAATGTTTTGGGGTTATTTTTTGCTTTTGTGTTTTGGGGGGCTTTTTTTGTTTTTGGTTGTAGGGCTTGAACTCAGGGCCTGGGCGCTGTCCTTGAGCTTTTTCATTCACGGCAAGTGCTCTACCACTTTGAGCTACAGTTCCACTTCCAGTTTTCTGATGGGTAATTAAAGTCTCATGAACTTTCCTGTCTGTTCTGGGATTGAACCACGATCCTCAGATCTCAGACTTCTGAATAGTTAGGATTACAGGCATCAGCCACCAATACTTGGTTTAAACCATTCATTTTTAAAGCCAATAACTTTATTCTGTATTAAAGGTTCATATTACTCTATAAATAATTAAATGTCACAAATATAAATTTAATTGATTAATTAAAAGACAAATGTAAACATCTAGTAGGGGTATAAGGAACACATTGTTTGTCTTATGATCTTAACTTTGACTGTCTTATACATAGCAATTTTGTAGTGGTTGCTTGTTTTCTTTGGTTCTGTATTCTATGTCTAGAATATGTATCCTAGAAAACTGATTTAAATTCAAAAGAGATACTTACATTAGTCTTTCAAGTGCTAGAATTATAGGTATGCCTCACCATGCCTGACCAATTATTATTTCTGTCCAGTTTTATGATATAACTTATTTAAAAATACAGATTATACACTTTCTACTCCAGTACTTTTATAAAAACATTTTATTTATATTATTTAATATTTTAAGCTTAATATAAGCTTGTTGAAGTAGTATTTGAAATATAATTTGACATTTCAATTCCTGCTTTTCTTATCTCATTATCTCATTTTACCTTAAGGGTTACATTAAGACAAATAGAAAGTATAGAAAGTAAGATAAAAGTTGCATTATCATAGGGAGTGGCACTGTGGCTCAAGTGGTAGAGTGTTAGCCTTGAGCAATAAGAAGCTCAGGGACAACACCCAGGCCCAGAGTTCAAGCTCCAGGACTGGCAAAAAAACAAAACAAATCAACAACAACAAACCCAAAACACATTTAACATCATAAAAATATCTATTTTTTCCTCTATAATTTAAGTATAAGTGATTGTTTCATGGCAATATAGATGAAGAGATAAGTAATCTCTTGTCCTAGAATATTCCTTTATTGTTGGTATCTCTGAGGTACACAGTAAATAATCAATACCCTTCTCACTATTCAAATCTAGAGCCACATGGTAAGCAAAACAGTTGGCAGATGGACAAGTAGGCATAATTTATATTACTGATAAGGCTAAAGTCAAACACTTTACTTCTTACCTACCCATGGAAATCCCATTGCAGAAAAGGGCTGAGTATGCATCTCAGAGGTGCATTTATCTAGGCGATTACATTCCAAATGTACTTGTCCAAATGAAAGATGAGAGAAAAAAATCCTCTCATTCAAGATCTTTGCTACATTAATACTATCCATTCAAACTACCAGTTCAAATGGCAGTTGATTACCAACCAGCCTTCTTGATCTTCTAGGGAACAGAAAGTAGTGAAATACAATGTCAGAAATATTTAAGAAAAATTTCTTCTCATAGAAGCAGATAGTGCAGAAAAAATTGATCATTGGGGCTTGGAAGGTGGCTCAGTAGTAGAGTACTTGCCTTGCATGCTTGAGGCTCTGGTTCGATTCCACAGCACCACATAAGCAGAAAAAGCTGGAAGTGGCACTGTGGCTCAAGTGGTAGAGCACTCGCCTTGAGCTGAAGAGCTGAGGAACAGCACCCAGGCCCAGAGTTCAGGCCCCATGACCGGAAAAAAAAAAAATTGATCATCACTAGAGGTTAGATTTCCTATGTTCTTTACCACCTGAAGATGTGAAAACTTATTCTGACTTTTATCAGCTTGCAAATGTTAAGCACTTTCACTTTGGGAATTATTTTTCTCTTTGAAAGGCAACTTCAAGGGATCAGTGGGGTATATTTTAAAAATAAATTCTTACTTCAAAAGCCCGTCCTTTTATAAGATAATTCAGACTATGGGAAATACAAACAATTTTTTTGTACCAGTGCTAGGGCTTGAACTGACTGCCTAGGTGTTATCTCTTAGCTTTTTCACTCAAGGCTAGTGCTCTACCACTCTAACCACAGTTCCATTTCTGTTTTTTTTTATGGTGATTAATTGGAGATAAGAGTTTTACAGACTTTTCTGCCTGGACTGGCTTCAAATTGTGATCCTCAGATCTCAGCCTCCTTAGTGGGTAGGATTTCAAGTGTGAGCCAGTGGTACCTGGCTAAAATATAAACATTCCTGACACATTTGCACTTTTATAATACAAGTTTTAAGTAGATACTTAAAAATTATGGAAACATGATTTATATAATAAGCAAAAACTGTATGTTGGCTGTAAATTTGTATAGACTTATATTGTAATTTTAGGTTGCCAATGCCATGAAAAACTCATTACCATTTGATGCTCCTGATTCTTCACAAGAAGGCCAGAAAGTACTTAAAGTGGAAGTCACTCCAACAGTGCCGAGGATTTCTCGGACTGCAATTACAACTGCTTCCATCCGTCGTCATAGATGGAGGAGAGAAGGTGAGTACAAAATTCCAATAGTCTGCTTATGATCCAAGTAAACTAATCATTGTTTGTCCTGATGATATTAAAGCATTGAATCATAGTACTTTGTGTAATTGAAGTAAAATGTTTTAGTTTTTAAAATAGAATTTAAAATGTGCTTATATAATTTTAAAGTAAATATACTTTATAAAGTAGAAAGGTGTTAAAGACTGCTGTATGAATGTTAGAACAGAAAATAAGACCAGGTTAATTTTTGTTAATCTTTGTCACTTTAAGCCTGTAAATGGGGAGTTGGGGGAAAGGTGCATGTATGAGCATTGTGGGAGAAAACTATACAACTGGCCAAACTAACAGTACAATACAAGATATCCAAAAAAGAGTTGACTCTTATTTTTGTATTTTTATCTTTAGTTTTCCTTTTTTGTAAGTGCTGAGCACACAGTATTTCATAGACATTTGGTACTTGAACAGCCAACCTGTCTTGCCTAAGAGGTTTTCATTGCCATTTTAATGATCCCTATAGTTTTGTCCTATTCATTTGCAAACCTCACATTGTTCATCTGCTGCCTTATGTGTGTGCTGCTGTGCACACACATGCAACTATATAAATATTACTTGTGTTAATATCATATCCATATATACATTTTCTTATCTGCCTGGGTCGAAATGCTCCGAAAAGAATAGAGCAGCACAAAAGCACTAAAATTTTATATGTTGAATCCCAGATGGCTTTGACTTCTCAAACGAGGCTGACTCGAGTATTCCTGGCTCCCCGATCCAACACGGCTCCACTGACCTAGGGACCAAACGTGTGCAAGAGGGGGAGGTGCTGGTGCGCAGGACCCCTGAGCATGGCTCGCCGGAGCCCAACTCGGCAGCAGCCACAACAGAGGGTAGGACAGAGATGAGGAGGCAGAAGTCAGTGAGGCAGTTACTGGAGAAGGATCCTGGCTCTCTATCCCCAAGCAGAACTTCTTTCCATTCTAGTGTGTCTTTCTATTACCCCAGGGCATATTAGCTACTCCTTGCAAAGCACCCCTCCACCCCATATGCCTAGCACCAGGTTAAGTACAATCTGTAGTTGCCATTTGTGCTGGCCTGGAATCTGCATCCCTGTGTAATCAAAGAACAGCTTGGCATGGCTACTAACAAATCAGGGTCCTGTATTAAAAGGTCTGCAAATGCTTGGAATTTTTTCATTACTGAGCATGTTTATTCTAACATTAGGAAAGAAAAAAATGCACCCAATGAACATAATCCTTATTAGTCTATTTTAATGTATTTATATGACAATTCTTTTAAGATCGTGAAGAAAGTTTAAAACACTAGTGTACTAGAAAATTGAAGTGGAGCTGGTCTTTTATATATACATACATTCAGCTAATTAGAATTTCTTTCTTTACGAAGTATGTTGGTTTGATTAGCTTTTTATTATCTGTGGCTTAAGTTGCCTAGGTCCAACGGATGCTGACATCTTCATTCTATGAATGTGTTATCCTGGTACACAGTGCATTTTATAATTTATTGTGAATAATGGTTACATTATGTAGCTCACAAATAAAATTGAAATGTATTATTTAGAGGTAGGTATCTTAAAATGAGAATTCCAACCCTTCCACCTCTGGTACTGTCTGTAAAAGAACACATCTCTCTGACAGGAAAGTATTTACCTGCTGTTTTGCATGTAATACCACAGGAGTTAGCTTTGTGAAAGAGGGAACTATAGCTAAATAGTAATGTATCCCACTGTGGAACCTGCCACTGTTGAAGTTCCATACTAATTCATGAAATAAAAGTAACTTTAAAGGTGTGTACTACACTTTTTAATGTATTTTAAAGACCAAATGTACTTAAAACATTTAGCTTCCACCTTAAAGAAGTCTCTTTCTCTTTGGTGCATTAGAACTTTGAGCATGCTCAGTAAGAATCTAAGTTTACCCTCTGTTCTTTGCCCATTTGTCCAAATCAGCCTTATTTCATCTAACAGTGTTGCATGTGCATGGCCAATAATCTAGAGAAGTTGGTGTTGTTTTAGGGATCCTTCTTTATATGGCTATGGAAGCTGCAGCCTTCTTGGCCTTCTCTTTTTATATTTTTGTATCTCCTTATGTTATCCCTAAAGGTTAGTTTCATCTTGTCTAACCGTATAAGAAATGAGACTAGAATATATGAAGAACCCAGAGTTAACCTCCATTGAATAGTGACCTATTTCTCAATATTCTATGTGACTAAGTGAACTATTTAATTCTAGATAGTGTGTTATTTATCTGAAGCATTGATTCCAATTCTTCAGAAGTTGTACATTTTGAGCAAGAAAACAAAATAGTAACTTCTTTTTAATATCTTACTATATCCTATTAAATATTAAAATAACCTATTTTAGTAAGCTGTTAAGGGTATGTAGCCATAAGGAAAGAAGAGTGTTTGGGGTTTCTAAAAGAATATTTCACCTTTTAATCTAGGATCTAAAGATTAGTATTAGTAGCAGCTAAATTTAGAGGAAAGTTAGCTTTGAAAAGTTCACTGAGAATCATGTTCAGTTGTCTCTTTTTTTGGATCATAAATGATATTAAGCAATTAGGAAGAAAACTGCAAACAAAAACTGGGTGCTGGTGACTCACATCTGTAATCCTAGCTACTCAGGAAGCTGAGATTTGAGGATCACAGTACAAAACCAGCCCTGGGCAGGAAAGTCTGTGAAACTCTTATTTCCAATTAACTACCAGAAAACTGGAAGTGGAGCTGTGGCTCAAGTGGTAGAACACTAGCCTTGAGCAAAAGAGTCCATAGACAGAGCCTAGGCCTTGAGTTCACCCCCATGACTGACAAAAAAAAAACCCTACAAACAAAAAATGTTATGAGACAATTGTCTTTGTTATTCTTTGAGATTTTTTTTTAACAGAAGGAAGGAAATTACTAGAACCTATGAATAGTTTGGGTAATTATGTAGTTTGCTGCAAATTTTGAATGAAAGAAAATTTCCTTTTTAAGAGAAAACATGTTTTGTATGATGGTTTTAGTTTTATAATTAAAATTATGTTTATTATATTTGAAATTTAGAAGAGACTGTTATCTCTGTCACCTGTTGCTAAACTGAAGGCAGTAACTATGATTGGAATATAGTCAGTGTTTTATTAGACTGGAATAGTCATCCCCATTATATAAAATTTTTACCAGTACATTCTCTTGCATGGTGGCTTTTCTGTTATCATCATCCCTTTGATGTCCATTTTGCTTAAGTATCTGATCTGCATGTAGCAAGATTCAGAGCTAGCACTAAGTCTCTCAGTCTCTTTTCCTAATTAAATAAGCCCAATGTTAAATTTCTGCCTCCTCCCAGTTTGACATTACTGATACTACTTCTGAACCAATAACAATTCTTGGGCATTTTAGAGTATTTTATACTAATTGTAAATAAATTATTAACTAATAATATATGAAGCCGGGCACTGGTGGCTCACGCCTATCATCCTAGCTACTCAGGAGACTGAGATCTGAGGATCACAGTTCAAAGCCAGCCCGGGCAGGAAAATCCATGAGACTTTTATCTCCAATAAAAACCACTAGAAAACCGGAAGTGGCACTGTGGCTCTAGCGGTAGAGGGCTGGCCTTGAGCTGAAGAGCGCAGGGACAGCCACATGACCAACCAAAAAAAAAAAAAAATATATATATATGTATATGAATATACTTAAAATTTTTATTTTGAGTTATACTTCTTTTGAAGGGGTTGAGAGAAGTAGTGTCAGCTGTTATTATTTTATTAAATGCATTTTTACATGGCTTTGCATGATGATTAAACCTTATTAAACTGCTGGATATATATATGTGTGTGTATATATATATAACAGGATATCTTTTGCTTTAAGGATGTACTATTCTTTTCTAGAATGAAAGAAATGTGAGAAAATATTCCTAAGAAAATATTTTTCTAGGTACTATGTTAAATAAAAGATTGTGTTTAAATATTTTATAAACATTTTGCTTAGATAACTGTATTTCAAAGTAATATTATTATATTGTTTTCTAACATTATACCTTAATTATAATGTTGATGTCTCTTTTACAGAATCTCGTTTTCTTGCAGTATGGGAAAAACATTTAATAATGTATCAAATCAAGACCACTTTTTGGAAGGAAAAAAATTACTTTTTAAGAGAATGTTTAATCATACCATACTTTCAGTAAAAATTAGGCTGTGTGAAAATCACAAGTTTAAAGTATATGCTTCTCTTCCCAGAAAACATCAGTATAATAATTTTTTTACTAACTGAAGTTTCTGTATAGCTATTATAGAATTTTATAAATATGATAATGATACATCTGAATGCTAAGAATATAAAATATTATAGAATACCTAATACAGGCATTAAAAGTCCTTAAAAATCCAGTAGTTCTCTATTACTGTACCTTGATAATATTTTCTTTATATTGATCAAGAAAATATGGAAAACAGTACATAGAATTGTCCATAAGATAAATAGTGCTGGGTGCTGGTGGCTCACGCCTGTAATCCTAGCTACTCAGGAGGCTGAGATCTGAGGATCATGGTTCCAAGCCAGCCCGGGCAGGAAAGTCTGTGAAACTCTTATCTCCAATAAACCACTAGAAAACCGGAAGTGGCGCTGTAGTCAAGTGGTAGAGTGCTTGCCTTGAGCTGAAGAGCTGAGGGACAGCGCTCAGGCCCAGAGTTTAAGCCCCACAACCAAAAAAAAAAGATAAATAGTATTGTAAAATTCCTGGAAGCATGTCTTTTTATTTTGAGTGATAAAATTTATGTGTTCCATATTAAAAGTGTTTAAAACATGTAGAAGTAGATAGCTGTTAAATAAATGTAAGATTTTTATTATAGTTAATAAAAGAGTTTGATGAATAGGCCACATAATTTTTTTATATAATTCTAGAGATTTGAAACTAGAAAAGAATCTCTTTTGCACAGTCTACTATATGATGGATTACAGAAGATAAGAAGGAAAGTTGTTCATTTTTTAATGGGTCAAATGGTAAATTGTGTTATCTGCCTAAATATTCATAGTATGCCAGGTATTGTTAAGATAGTTAAAAATATTGGACTTAAACAATTAAAACTAAACACAATGAATAATAGAACATAGGAACTAGGGTTCTGTATAGAGTATATTTTCCTAAATACAATGAGTAACAGAATATAGGATACTAGGATTTTATATAGAAGTTTATTTTCCTAAACTAGTTAGAAAAAGGATAGTAAGACCATTATTGATCAATAGCAGCCATTTGAGCGATTAGGTCATTTTTGTTGATTCACAACTGCTTTTTTACTTAATTGACGTATTGCTTAACCTGTCTGGTTTGTGTTTTAGGTGCTGATGGTGTAAATGGAGATGAATCTGTAAACCTGAATGATGCCGATGAAGGATTTTCATCAGGGGCTTCCCTTAGCAGCCAGCCAATTGGGACCAAACAATCCTCTTCTTCTCAGAGGGGAAGCTTAAGGAAAGTAGCAGCTGGGCGTTCAGCCAAAGATAAAGAAACAGCATCTACCATCAAATCCAATGAGAGTCCTCGAGATTCAGTAGTTCACAAGCAGTATATACAGCAACCAGCTGATCTTACTGTAGATTCAGTTGAGCTAACACCGATGAAGAAACACCTGAGCCTCCCTGCTGGCCAGGTGGTGCCAAAAACCAATAGCTTAAGTCTAATACGGACAGCCAGTGCTTCCTCAAGTAAATCATTTGACTATGTAAATGGCAGTCAAGCAAGTACCAGCATCGGAGTTGGCACTGAGGGGGTTACTAATCTAGCAACTAACAATGCTAATCGATATTCAACTATCAGTCTCCAGGAAGACCGGCTAGGTCAAGCTGGTGAAGGTAAAGAGCTCCTCAGTCCAGGAGCTCCCTTAACCAAGCAGTCTCGATCCCCAAGTTTCAATATGCAGCTAATATCCCAGGTGTAGTTTTGATGTCCTCTCTCTTCTTTCTGCATAACCTTTAAAACTGAACATTTCATTGTGCAAGAAGACACTTCATCCCATATTGTGAAAATAATATTGGTCATCGTAATCAAATTTGATTTAGTTTAGGTATCTTCATACTGTATTTTGTATGGAAAAAGCAATAAGGTTTTCTTTTCCCTCTTCCTATATCTTCTCTTTACCTATTCTTTGTAAATGTGTTTGTGAAACAGTATAAAACGTTTGCCTTTTCCATGCCTTCCTTTCTCCTTGGGTGATGTGCAATCCATTGTAGGCTGATCGGTCCCATTTCAACACTGTGAGACTGAGGATATGTCAGAGGAAATGGTGTATATGATCCCTATGGAATGATTCTTTGGCTTTCATTTAAAAACAAAACGGGTTTGTTCACATAATCAATAAGAACTATGAAGATGGTTGGATCATACTTTTTTCTCTCTTAACCAGGAGTGCCTCAGAGATTCTGCTATGACTTTGGACTTCTCTGAGTCTGTGCAGTCATGTTCTTGAGAAGCATGAGGAAAGGAGGTAGACTGTTGCACTTTTTCATTAAAATGAGGCTAGCTCTTTTTTTCTTCTGTTTTGTTAATCCTGAGGATGTAAATGTTCAATTATTGAGGCATTTAAATCAATTTGTGATCACCTCCATTGGAGGGTGGGACTCTTTAAGTTGATTGTGTAATTGATAATGCACTTTCTCAATGGCTCTCTGGTCATTATTAACATGTCTTCCCTCTTCCCACAAGGACTTAGGTCATTTCTGTCTTTCAAGTTTGAAGAATAAATCAGAGAATCCAAGGGGCATGTTATATTTTCCAGGAATGATTGACACTTGGTGCTGGGGTTTTATGGGGGGAGGGGTAGTTTTGTTTAGCCTATGTGGGATTGTGTGTGAGAGGATGTTTTGATTTTTTTTTCCTTTGTGAGCTGATGATGACTGAACTGTAGTACTGTACGTCTTCAGGTAAAGAGAGGGATTTCTCAGTTCACTTTCTGTGATGTTAGACTATTGGAGAAACCCTTTCAGCTGCTTTCTAGATGTACCTAAATTCAGTCAGATATTTTGGATTAAGACATCTAAAGTCCTGACAGATCATATATTCTCCAAGGAAATACATCAGGGACAGATAATTGGCTGGAAACATTGATGCTTCAATGTGACACATTTTTATAGAACATTTCTACCAGGGGGTACTGACTTGATTTCTCTTTTAAGGACCACACTGCCTTTGTGTTTAATGTAATGCAATTTGTGTATCTTCTAGTCAAATATCTGCAAAGTTTCTCATTTTTATAAAACTTTGGAATCATGCCAGTAAGCTAGATGTTGAATGTATGTAAGTAGCATTTGGTAACTGCTAAGAAGTTATAAAAGTATATTATTGGTTTAAGAATTTTTTCTGATAACCTCTTCTGGGTCTCAGGCACTAATGTTTGAAAAAGAAGGGAATATATTGGGTTTTTGAAAATCAGTATTGTAACTTAAACTTCTGTAAATTATCTTTCCACAACATTCATGAGTTATACCTGTCTTTCTACTTTCAGACATTTTTACTTCATTATTGTGCAAGAAAGAATACACTGAGTTTATAGAAAGTATTCTCCTAATTAACAAAGTTTAAAATTTTATCTCTACCAATTAAAACTACAGTAGATTTTGATAACCAGAAGATGCCTCTTATTTTTTTCACACCTAAAATTTCCTTCTTCCCTCCTTTTTTTTAAATTATTAAGAGCATTTTTTTAAAAGAAGACCTTATCTTAAACTCTTCACAAGAAGAATGATTGAATTTAATGGTCTGTAACATTTTTCAGCTCTTAAGAATATAGAAAACTAGAACCTGAGCTAGTATTTACTTTGCCAAAGTCCAAGGTAAAGCTAAAAGTTGCCAGGTGATTTTAGTGATTTGTTTGTGTGTGTGTGTGTGTGCGCGCACATGCCATATGTATCAATTATCACAAAGGCATATTTTAGATGTCTCCATTTAACTAGGGATGTCAAGTAAATGAGTTTTTGAAAATACAATCAGAATATATGAGGTAAATGTTTATAACATACTAAAAAAGACAGAGTTTCAAGTATGTAATGAAAGTAACGTAGTTCTTTCAGTGAGTGAAACCTCCACTGTAGCTGGAGGTCATTCACTTTATGGTAGAAATAGCTGTCTATATAGGAGCTAATGGGCTGTTTTAAGTTCACCAGGTTGTACATATACTGGCATCTGAATCAAGCATGATTTTAAAGCACAAAGAAAATAACCAAAAGTTACAATAATAAATATAATGAAAATTACTTTGGCTAGTAACCTAATGCTGTACCTGAAAAATTAGCTTAAAAATTTTCATCTTAGGATTTCATTTATTTGTATGTATATGTATGTATAGATTTTGTATGTATATATACATACCCATTAATATTTTATAATCCTGTAACTTTGTTTTCATTCTTTTAGGTATTGTGACTGGTCCCAATGAAGAAATATTTCACATAGTTTAGGCTTTGCCTTCAAGGTTTTAGAACAGATTTCCTGTACAAGATACAGTTAAAATGAAATGAGTTAGTTTAGCAAACTATCAAGTTTAAAAAATTATATCCTTTTTGTAGGAAGTTTTATTTCAGGTATACAACAGTTATTACAAATATATGCAAGCAGTTTTTAGACTTTATCCTTTAAGAACACCTTGTTTTTATATTTCTTTTATTTAAAAAAAAGTCCACTCATCTATGGAAAGCAATGTAGGGAGAGAAAATATTTATTTTCTATAATAAAACAATTTGGTGCCATCTACTCCAGAGTGGATTAAAGAACTATCTGAAAGTTTGAGAACTCTTCTTATGACATTAATTTTAAAACATGACTAGAAAGCAAACTAAAATGTAAAATGAAAATTTAACTTAGTAAGATTTTTAAATATGAAGATATTTCATGTCGGGTGCCAGGGGGGTCATGCCTGTAATCTGAACCATTCAAGAGGTGGAGATCCAAAGGATTATGGTTCAAAGCCAGCCCAGGGAAAAGAGTCAGTGAAACTCCATATTCAAAATAACTAGAGAAAAGCAGGGCTGATGGCATGGCTCAAGTGGTAGAGCACCAGCTAAGCAAGAAAACTGAATAAATGTGAGACCTTGAGTTCAAGCCCCAGTACCATGACCCCCCTTCAATATATGTGCTAGGGAGAAAAATGGTTTCATTAAAAAGCCTGATCTGTTACCACTATTCTTAATGTTCCCACTCTTCTGTACCTATTTATTATTGAGTCATAATTCTTGTTCTATAAAAGACCTTATAGATAATTTGGAAGTCTTTTCTTTTCCCCTCACCACATAGCCATTCCTCCTAGGAAGTTGAGGCTCAAAGAGGTTGTGACATAAGTCACAAAACTAAGAAGCAGAGCCAGAATCAACCTCATCTCCCATCGGATACATTTTTTATCTCACCACTGCCTCTCTTTGCCTGTTACATGGTAAATATGGTACATAATACTTTCCACTCTAGGTTCTTTACATTTCTTCTCTAATAGTTGGTGAATATAGCACATAAAGGAAAGTATTAAATCCAGAAAAATGTAGAGTAATATAGATGGGGAACTGTTAAATATTTAGGTATCAATAGAGATATAATGGTAGGTACATTATTCTAACTTATGCCTTAATAACTTTCTGCCACATAATAATTATATGCTGCCATGTTGTCTGTATTTGTGGGGATTTATTTAAATGAAAAATAAACCCAATGGAATGGATTTCATCAGTGTTTCTAGCTATTTTAATGTTATTTTTGAATCAGCTAGCTTTCAGTTAATTGTATTGCACAATGGAATATTGCAAAATAAAGATAAGTAAATTCCATTAAATTCTAATACAGAGAGATTGGACCTAACTGTGCTTAGAGCAGCTAAAAGCAATATTTCCATGTGTTTAAGAAAGGATTATAGTATAAAGCTTATTATTCCATAATGGAACAATGACCACGATGTGATTTAAAATGTATATACCATATAAAATGTCATTAAGGTGATAGTCTCAGCAATATAAGCTTAATATTTTCAATGTGTATTCTCGAATTCCACTTAGTAGCTTTAAACTTATTATAACTATTTATTAGACACTGGAATCCTGAGAATAACTTCAAATTGTTTTGTTTGCACTATTTTGTGAATATTTTAAAGAAGTAGGGTATTTTTCTTCCCTCACTTTGTGAGGTTTGTATGGGTCCATTTTTAAGTACTTTGATTGTTGACCATCAGTTGTCTCATTTAATTCTCTGCATGTTCATTTGTAAATAAAATATGTCTTTATGAGTAGCATACTGTATAAACACTGGAAGGAAGATCTCTCAATTTCTGATCTTGGATTACATCACAAACTAAGTTTGGATTTTCTAAAACAAACCAGTATTTCAGTTATGTATTTGTTTTTTAGTTTGAAAAACTTCAATAGGTCATAGTAGTGATCAGATAAACACAATTTTTGAGAACTTTTCTATACTATGGCAATGTTAAACAGTCTGAACATGACTTTTTATCTTTCAAGTTGAATGGTTACTGTCATTGTTTGACTACCACGTTGGTTGAGACACTTACTTGTAATACTTTAATTTTGTAAAGTGCTTTTTGGGGAAAAATTGAAAAACCAACTAGATATTGATAATTTAGTCTTAAAACTTAGGGCATTTGTCAGACTATAATATGGAATGCGATGTAAAATTAATATGCTTCATAAAATCATAATGAGTTCCCAGATTGGTACAATTTTCATGCTAAAATGGTCATGATTATGTTAGACAAATTTTAATATTACTTGAATTATGTGTATCTAAAAGGTAGGATACATCATGCTGGTTCTAAACATACGTAAGAAATACTATTTGTAGGAGTAATCACCCAGTGATGTATGCACATTTATTCTGACCCCAACCACACAATCACAAAATTTTGGTCACTTCTTCAGTATTTTTGTAATCTTGGTTCTGTGAGAAATATACACAAAAGCAAATTTAACTAAGAAGTTAGCTGAAAGCTAAGAAAGATGTGAAATAACTGGCAGCATGGTACAGAAATGTGGGTTCTGTTTTGCTTCTGAGTCTTGAGAGTATGGTGTTCGCTTCGGCAGCACTTATACTAAAATTGGAGAGCATGTATTCATAATATATTTGATGTTTACAAATTGTGGCATTTTTCCTGCTGTTACGTTTAATACAGATTTTACAAAACAAATAGAATTAGGTGTGGCTTAACAAATCCTTTTTAAAAAATGTATTTGGAGGTAGGTCTAATAAAGAGATCTTTTTATTTTCAAGGAGAAATGACCTTAATTAGACATCCCCATCTACAGAATTTGTATTAATCTGGTTTGCTATATTTGAGTGTAACCAGCTCAGTGTTAATCATAGAAGAGAAAAAATTTAACTCTTTTGATAATTACAAAATTTATCAAAATGGTATCAACCAGATCTATTTTAGAATACTTGTTATGGAAGGAAGCTCCACTCAATGTTAATGCTTTGTAACCCCAAGAGATATAAAGATTAAAAGATTCTTTGCCTGAAAAGTACCAATATATAAGCTATAGGATTGGATCTGAGTTTTTTCTTATGTCAATAAGGCATCAATATTTCAGCAAAAGTACAGGTTAAAGAATAAGTCCCAATATTATTCCACATGACACATTTTTATATCTCTTTAACTAAAATTAATGATTTTGCTCATCAGTATTGAATAAAAGGGATAAATTGTTATATTGTATAATTAAAATTGTGGGGCAAATTATGGAAATGCACCTCTTTCAATGGGAATGGTAATTATTTCTATTAAGTATGATATTGTTTAAACTGGTACTGTTCATTTACCTAATTTATCATCAACTCAAGTGGTTTTTTTTTCTTTGTATAAAAACAGGATTGGGTCAAGAAGAACAAATATTTTTTAAATGTATAGACTAAAAAGGATTAAAAGTTTTATTTAAATGATTAAATAATTACTTGTTTAAATCATGAAACAGTCTAGGCACTGGTGACTTGTGCCTATAATCCTAGCTACTCAGAAAGCTGAGATCTCAGGATCATGGTTCAAAGCAAGCCTGGGCAGGAAAGTATGAGACTTATCTCTAATTAACCACCAAAAAAGTGGAAGTGGAGCTGTGGATCAGAGTGCTAAAGTGGTTGCCTTGAGCAAAGAGCTCAGAGACAGCGTCTAGGCCTTGAGTTCAAGCCTCGTTACTGACAAAAATGTAATAAAACATGAAACATAATTTCATGTTCATCGATGTTCAAAACAAATTTAATGTTTTTTTCAATTCAAGTGGTAGTTTAAAAACTAATGAATGTATTGATTACATGTCTTAGAGTAAATTGGCTTTCTAACAATCACTGATAAAGGTTTGGGTTTGATTTTTCTTAAGATTTTATCATCTAAACTATATTGAGAGTTATACTCCATGTGGTAGAAAATATTTTTAGTAAGTTTATCCATTATTTTATATTGAATCTTTTTGTTCATAACTAAAAAGTATTTTTACACTAAAATTAGCCTTTACACTCCATTTACTGGCTAAATGAACTTATTTTACAGTGCAGATTATTTTCCCACTGCTTTTTTCAAGATAATTTGGTACTTCTGTGCTATGCAATTTCTGAAGGATTTTTTATTTTACTACTTTTGCTTTATATAATCTGTTCTCTGTAACAATGGACAAGGAAACAAATACCCAACTTTCATATATTTGTTTCATAAAAGGAAAGGGAGTGTATACATCAGCTTTTAAAAAAAAAACAGCATTGCACTATTGCTTGGTATAAAACTTCCCAGGTATGTGGAGAGAGGTACTGGTGAAATATAAATAGGTAGGCATGTAGGAATTATGATCGCTATTGAGTGATCTCCTTTCAAATTTGGACTAGTGAATATCTTTCCAGAACTGAAGAAAAAACAACTTGCACATTTAAAATCGTATTTCCTGGTGCATGTAAGCCATTATCCTGTCTTACTGAATTGATTAATGCCATGATTGTTGAAATGTGAAATGTAGTCACTGTTGACATTGTAAATATCTGCCAGAGATTAAAAAATATTTTAAGTCATTGTAAATAAAGATGTATAAAATTTAATATCAGTCCGCAATGCAGAAACATATCTCAGATGTTAAATATTGTTTCTTGAGGGATGTGTAATTTTCCCTATGTGTATCTAGTTAAGAATGTACATTTTCTTTTGTACAGTATAAAAATATAGCTTTATTTGGCTTTTAAGTGGATTTCCCTGAATTGATTTTTCCCTACCTACCTAAAGTTTATACGTTATAAGCCCTTTCACTGTATTTTTTGAAAGCATGCCATCTTTATGTATATCTGAAATTTTAATTTATGCAATACTCTACTGAAATAAGACAATGCATAAAATTACTTATACTATAAAATAAGTAACAAAGGTAGGCATTATATTAATATATTAAAAAAGATTTCATACCTTTCTATATGTTTATTGTAGGGACACAAATTTAACACTGTATTGAAACTGGAAATTTGGACATAAAAAAAAAACCTGTTTCTGGGGTGGGGTGAGGGATGTCTAAATTGGACTTTCCAACATATCAGTTGAAGAGATGAGAGCTGTTGAAGAGCAAAGATTTGATTGAGTTTGGCCAGAAAAACAGAGAGACTCAGTGACAATTGATTGTCTAAAGAGTATTAGCATAATTAGGATATTAGATTTAAGGGAATTGTTGAGGCAGGGACAGCAGTATGTATAATTCGTATTGATCAGAGGTGTGCTCGAGGATGTTCTGCTGGTGTCCCACAAGGTAACAATAAGACATCGTTTCTCTGGGGCCATTTTCTGCTGTTACAAAATGTTTACTTATTGATTGTGTCCTTCCTGAAGTCCCAAGGAACCTCAGTGAAAGCTGTTAATAGGGAATTGTTGGAGGCAGGGGAAAGGAGAATTGTGGAAGCGATAGAGAAGGTTATTCTAAGAAAAATATAACGTATGTACATCTGAAATACTGTAGTGAAACCCCTTGGTGCAGCTATAACACGAAAAAAAATAATGACAGAAAAACAGATGGGCACCATCAGGAGTAGGGATGGGATCCTCATGGGGGGGAAACAGGAAGACTAGTCCAGGACAGCATAAAGTGAGATCCTATCTCAGAATTAAGCATCATTAAAAGAGGCTGGAGGCATGACTCAAGTGGTAGAGGGCCTACCTGACAAGTACAAGACACTAATTTCAATGCCAGAATCACTTATTTTTTTGTTGGTCGTGCGGCCTGAACTCGGCTTGGGCGCTGTCCCTCAGCTCTTGAGCTCAAGGCGAGCACTCTACCACTTGAGCCACACTCCTGCCTTTTCTGCTTATGTGGTGCTGAATAATCAAACCAGGGCCTCATGCATACAAAACAAGCACTCTGCCACTGAGCCAGCCCCCCCTCCCCAAAATTTTTTTTAACATTTTGTGTGTGTGTGCTAAAGTTGTAAACTCAGCCTGCAGGGACAAAACAAAAGGGTCTGGTCTTTTATATACTTGCTCTCCAACACACCCCAGTTCAGTATTTCTCATTCTTGCAATTCCTGCAGAAATTTCCCTATAACTTCTGCAAACTCCTTTCCCTGTGTAAGTAGGTCAAGAGAATCCAAGTTCTAATTTGTTTTAGGCAGCTAGTCCTCAGCTCCAAGCTAGACCTCCCCTCCCCCCACCTCTGCCTTTGGCAGTACCATGTTTTGAATTCAAGGCCTGAGGCTTCCATTTTTTGCAGTCTCTAGACTATGATCTATTTTAGGCCTCCCCTGTAGTTGAGATGACAAGCATGGGTTGCTGCTGCAAACTTCCTGCCATTGAGATAGTTTCACTGACCTGAAACCTTGATCCTCCCATTCTTAGCCTCCCATCTGGCTGGGATAATGGACGTGACACTGTATCCAGCTATTGGCTGAGAAGGTCTTTTTTGCCCACACTGGCCTTAAACAACATTCCTCCCAATCTCAGCCTCAAAGAATCTAGGATTGCCTGATGCTGATGGCTTATGCCAATCTATATTCAGGAGGCTGAGATCTGAGTTTTGAAGCCAGTCATGCAGACAAATCTGAGAGTCTTTTAACTCCAATTAACTAGGAAAAAGCCAGAGCTGAAGTCATGGTTTGAGTAATAAGTAGAGCACCAGCTATGAGCACAAAACTAAGCAAAAGCACACAGCCCTGAGTTCAAGGCCCAATATTAGCAAATGAGCATGTGTTCGCACTTGTGTGCACGCGCGCATACACACACACATACACCCCAAAATAGATAACAGGAGTCTCTGGTAGGTGGCTTCCATGTTGCTCTTAAAGACATTCCTCAGACTATCCATAGAGTTCTGTGATTGTTTCTTACTAGCTTCTAAAACTGACAGGTCTAGATTTCAGTATTCCTGTCTAATCACACATCTCCCAAAATTTTGTTAGCTATCTCACCTCCTTTCCTATTCTGTTGGATGCTTACATATTTTTTAAAAATTCTGATTGTTAATTTAATGTGAGGTTGTAGGTAAGGAATCCAGTGATGGCCTAGCATATATAAGCCCAATACTGAAACAAAACAAAAGATATTAATTTGATCTACTTTTCCTCTTGTAATACTCCCATCAAAATTTCCGTGACTGTGGAGAGCTGCTATTTTACAGTCCCTTCTAGTTTCAGCTTTCTGCCACTATTGACCCCATCTTCCCATTCCCATTGGTTTGATTTCCTACCCAAAATATTTGTGACTGCAAAGAGAGTTGTCAGTTCTTTTCTAACATAGAAAATTTCCTTTTTTTATTTGGAACTCAGAACTTTGCACATGCTAAACACAAATGTTATACCATTGAGTTACATGCAGAGTCCTTTCATTTTCTTGACTCAAGCTGACCAAAATGTAATCCTGAGATAGTAATGATATCATTTCTTCTTTTTTTTGTTTGTCGGTCATGGGTCTTGAACTCTGTGTCTGGGCGCTGTCCTTCAGTTCTTCAGCTCAAAGCTAGCGCTTTACCCCTTGAGCCACAGCGCCGCTTCTGGCTTTTCTGCTTATGTGGTGCTGAGGAATCAAACCCAGGGCCTCATGCATGCAAGGCAAGCACTCTACCACTGAGCCACCTCCCAGGCCCATTTCTTTTTGTAACTGGATTCCCTAAACTACTTTAAAATAATGTGAGTCCATTTCATCCCTCCTATGATTACATCCCACATATGTAGTAACTTAGTTTTTACTTGTACTAGCATTTAAACCCAAGGCCTATGCTTGAGCAATGACTATAGCTTCTTTAAAAACAGACTTTATTATCTGAAATAGTGTCCTGCCACTTTGTCAAGTTGTAGGCTATCGTGCCTGCCATTTCATAATCGTTCAATACAAATTTGACCCGTGTCCTAAGAGCCAACTAGCCTTTCAGAATGACAGACCAAATGCTTGCCATTTGCCATATTAATCTGAATCCTCTACCTAGAAAGCTTGCTCTCTTTGGCTTCCATCTATTTAACCCTCAAGTTTCAGTTTAAACATTTCTTCCTCCAAGGCCATTGTTCCCCACTCTTTCTGGCATTTAATTAGGCTCTCCTATCCACCTCCCACATTACAGCATTTTTCTCAATATTTTCCTTTCAATGCCTTTCAGTGAAAGCAGACATCATGTTTGTCTACATCAATATTGTATCCTTACCGTCTACTATTCAGGTATCTCTCTAGTGTTTTGTTTGGAACAAACAAAATTGGACTTAATTTTGAGGTCAAATAAAATAACTCTATTAAAAGTAGTGTATGTGATCCGGGCATCGGTGGCTCACAGCTGTGATTGTAGCTAATCAGGAGGCTGATATGAGGATCATGGTTGGAAGCTAGCCTGGGCAGTAAAGTCCATTATACTCATCTCCAATTAACCATCAAAAAGCCAGAAGTGGAGCTGTTGCTCAAGTGGTAGGAAAAAGCTAAGGGACAGTGTGCTCAGACCCCGAGTTCAAGCCCAAGCCCAGCTCTCTCTCTCTCACACACACACGCAGTATGTATCCCGGCCAGATTCGTCATTTTCCCTATTTTAATCATTCTGTGTTCCTTGTTTTTACGTTAGTGGTTCAATCCCATCTTCACTAGTCCACGCTGCTACGTTTTTCCATTAGATAAAGGACAGTCTTCTCTCCTGGTTCTCCTCAGCCCTATATAAGACGCTACCTTTCATGTCACATGAGCAAAGTGTGAGGAAAAAAAAAATCTATTCTCATTTTTTACCCTCCAAAGATAGCAGTTAGAGAAACCAACGGACACTAAGATTGCCACAAGACCAAGACATTAGTTCAGCAGGCTTCGCAGCCTTTGCGACCACCCGCAGATTCAGTTAACACTTCCTGCCCTCTTCCCCGGAAACGGAAAAAGGAAAGCGGCGGAACCCCCCCTTTGAGGGATTTGTTTCCTTCAAATTTACCCGTTGAGTGAGTCGCAAGGACCGGCGCCGACTGGCCTGTAGAACCGTCCCTCTCATCCTGCAAGGCTTCCCATTGGTCCGCTCGGGCTCCGCCCCCTGAGCAGGGCGGGAGATTCTGTGAGTAGTGCGCGGCCTCCTAAGCTCGAGCAGAGCTTTGCGGGCTTTCGGTTTGTGTCCGCGGCGGCCTGGTTTAGGAGAACTCGGCCACTGACGTTCCGGCCGGAGCTGCCTTCCCGGCCACCGGCCGCGGCTCAGCAGGGCGGCAGGAACCGCGCTCTCGGGAGACCTAAGCTCTGGGGACCCCTGCTTCTCAGTGTTGCCGTAGCTCCGGACTTGCGAGGTGAGTCCTGGCGGGCCCGGCCCTGCGCTCAAGCCGGGGTTCCCGCGAGTCGGAGGACTTGGCTGGACCTTCGGCCGGGGAGGGCCTCCTGGTGCCTCCCTCCTTGCCTGCCCTTTGCTGGCCCCGAGTGGCGAGCAGCCGGCTAACTGGACGGCAGAGGGAGGCGTGCGGCCGGAGTCCGTCAGGAAGTGAAGGGGTGAAGAGCTGGGTCTGGGAAGACCGTTTGTCCATCTGTCTAACGGGGCTAGGCCTGGTGGGCTAGCGACGCCCGGGAGCAACCTGGCTGCCTCCCGCTGGTAAGAGAAGGGTAAGTAAGGATCTGTACGGAAAGTGGAGTGCTCTGTGAGAAGGTAGGATCCACGTGCCAACACTGCCTCTGGGGCTAGAACTTGCCTGGACGTTCCAGACGGGTCCTGTCAATCCCACCCTTGATCGGGGACACTGCTTGATTCTAAAATGTTGATACAACGGTTATCTTTCGGTAAGGCTTTTTACATGAAGGGTGCTGAAACATTGCTTTGCATGTTAAAGTTGAAATCCTAATAGAACCATTACGCTGGTTAAATTGCAGTCTCAGGATAAACAGCTTGACCCTAAGTACTGTTTTGTAATGGCTTGAGTGTTAAATGGACGTCACTCATCACTTAGCACTTTCTCCATTAGATGCATGAAATGCAGAGATGTGTTTGGTTATGTTGAAAAGTGAAAAATACCAATACGAAGGAACATTTAGTGAACACATTGTCAGGCACATGTCATTTTGTTGCTGCTTGAACGGGGTCTTGCTATGGTAGTCCAGGCTGGCCTCAACTTTGGTGTCGTCTTGACTCAGCCCCCTGATTACTGGAATTACACGCATGTATCACCACACCGGCTACACAGTCTTATTTAATCTTCATGACTTTGGACAAAGCCACACAGCTGTGCCGTTGAGATTAGAACCCAAGTTTATCTGATATTACTATTGGTGCTTAACCACTAATCTATACTGCCATTCTTTTTAACAATTGCATTTTTAAACATTGTATTTGCATCCAGAGGAAAAAGTAGTTTACTATGTATTTAACTACTTAAAAGAAATTAACAGCGGGTCTCCAGTGGATCAGTTAGCTACTCAGGAGGCTGATATCTGAGGATGGGGGTTTGAAGCCAGCCCAGGCAGGAAAGTTCTTGACTCATCTCCAATTAATCACCAGAAAACAGAAAGTGGCCCTGTGACCCAAAGTGGTAGAGTGCTAGCCTTAAGTGGAAAAAGCTCAGGGATAGTGCCCAGGCCCTGAGTTCCAGACTGACTGAAAAAAAGAAACTGACCTATAAACACCTATGGTATTATTTTGAAAGGTCATAGGTGTTCATGATGTATATTTGCATTGTGTAATTGTTAGTGCTTTTTCAGGACCTTTGGAAAAGAAAGTTTTCTGATGACATTTCTTCAATTGTGTTTTTTGTTTGTACCGCATAGTTAAGTGCCTTAAATCTAAAAAAGGATGTTGTGTAATTGCATTCAGCTATAAACAAGAACTGAGTTAGGCCGCCTCTGCCAAGGCAATTAATATGCTTCAGGAAAACTACTTGGGAGGCTGAGATCCTGAGGACTGTGAGTCAAGGTCAGCTTGGGCAAAAGAGTCCAAAGACCCCCATCTCAACTGAAAGTAAGTGGGTTTGGTGATGGGTGCCTATCCTAGCCACAATAGGGATTGAAAAACCAGAGGATTGCTATCTAGATCTATGACCTGTCAGAAATTGAGACCTTACTGCAAAAATTATATACACAGACAAAAGGCTGAAGGTCTGCCTGGCTCAGCAGTAGAATTCCTGTCTAGCAAGAAAAGACCCAAGTTCAAGTCCTGAGGCCAGCCTGGACTACCATAGCAAGACCCCGTTCACACACACACGCACACACACACACACACACACACAATCAGGCCTGGAAACACACACACACACACACACACACACAATCAGGCCTGGAAACACACACACACACAATCAGGCCTGGTGGCATATACCTTAATACTAGCACTTGAGAGACTGAGGCATATACCTTAATACTAGCACTTGAGAGACTGAGGCAGGAGAATCTCTAGTTCCTGGGAAAACTGGGCTATGTAATGACACCGTCTAAATAAAATAAAATATCTTAGGGAAGTTGCCCCAATACAATATTCGTTTGCCTACAGTATTTGCTTTTAAATATTTTCCTGAAGATCCATCCCCAAGAACCTCCAAGCCTTTGCCAATAAGAATTATTTGACTGACCTTTTTTGATTTACCACAAAGCTCAGGGCCAAAGTGCTGTGTAAAACTTTGTTTTTTTGCTTTTCTGAAATGCTTTCCCTGATCAAACTCTATTAATATTTATTTTGTTTACCATTGGTTTTATTTCATTTGTTCATTGTTACTAATTCAGATCCTTTGCAGAACATATCAATATGTAAATAAAACATTCAATCTGGCAACTTTTAAAGTATGCCTGATAGACCAGCTGTTTAATCTGATAATGTGAAATTTAGGAGAACAACAGAAGTCTTTGTATATTTGAAATTCTGAGATGTGGGAAAACAAATAGATAATATTTTGAATACTTTCTAGAGGCCAAAACAAGCAATTAAAATAACAGATTTTTATCACATGGTAGAAAAGGTATGCTTTGTAATAGACTGATTAGGAATTTAGCTGAAGCTGAGTTTCAACTCTAAAGTGAAAGTGCGTGTACTTGCGCACACACACACACATTTTATATATATACATATATATAGAGAGAGAGAGCGAGAGAGAGCAAGCAAGCACGCGCAAGCTTTTTTGGTAGTTTGTGGAGATAAGAATCTTACAGATTTTTCTGCTTAGTCTTGCTTCAAGCTATGATCCTTAGATCTCAGACTCCTGGGTAGCTAGGATTACAGGCATGAGCCACTGGTACCAGGCTAATTGTGTGAGTTTTGTTAAATACTGTTTAACATCAGTTTACTTATGTGAAAATTGGGAAGTTATACATACACACACGTACTCAAGTACACACATACTTGAAAGACTAAGGATGTACTGGTGGGTGGAGATGTGTCTAATATAGTACTTAATATATGACCATCACAAAACCTGTTTTTAAATATAAACAGATTATTACATTTGTTTTATACAAATATCATGAAAGTGCATTAAACTTTTTCTCAAATATATATAGATTCCTCATGATAGAAAGCAATATTGTGACTAGAAAAATGGTCCAAGGACATGTTTTACTTTGGTGGTTATATAAATTGTGGATGAAGTGGTAGAATTCTGTCTAGCAAGCACAATACTCTTGAGTTCAAACCTCAGTACTGCAAATAACAATAGCAAATTATGGCTGGTGGGTTCATTTTCTTTATATAACTCATGGAGTTATACAGATTAACTTAGAATGCATGTAAAGTACTTAAAACTATGTATAGAACATAGTAACTGATTAAGTCTTCTCTCAATGTCCCCTTGCTCAGTCTGGATCTTCTCAGTTTCAGGGTTCTCTGGCCAAAATGGTAATGGTCATTTTTGTCCTTTACTATGCCTTCATAGCAGCTTTGTGGCGCTATCACCTTTATAACAAAATAAAATGATTATTATTTTTCTTTTTGGTCAGTCATGGGGGCTGAAGTTTGAGCCTGGGCACTGTCCCTCAGCTCTCTTCAGCTCAAGGCTAGTGCACTACCACTAGAGCCACAGCGCCACTTCCGGCTTTTTCTGCTTATGTGGTGCTGAGGAATCAAACCCAGGGCCTCATGCATGCAAGGCAAGCACTCTACCACTGAGCCACCTTCCCAGCCCCCCCCTTTTTTTTTTGTCAGTCATGGGGGCTGAACTCTGGGCCTGGGCGCTGTCCCTCAGCTCTTCAGCTCAAAGCTAGTGCTCTATCACTTGAACCACAGCGCCACTGCCAGCTTTTTCTGCTTAGGTGGTGTTGAGGAATTGAACCCAGGGCCACATGCATGCAAGGCATGCACTCAACCACTGAGCCATCTTCCCAGCCCATAAAATTAAGTTAAAAAAAAAAAAAACCTCCTGAACTTCTTGATTTTACTCTGTTGTTTTGTTTTTCATATTTATTGACCCTGACAGTTCTTTTTCCAATTACAGGTGACTGAATTTTCCAGCTACAGAATGCATAGCACCTTAAAAGGTAATGAAACTGAAAGGAGTCATTTAAGTGTAACTGTTGTCAAATATTTTTTTTGTCAGTTTATCTGCATGCAAGTAACTTAGGAGAGACATTTGGTAGTTTTGTTACAAGAAAAGGCAAAATCAGGATTTATAAGAGAGAATGAGACAAGAATTCAGCAGAAACAGTGAATCTTAGCATTTCTTGGGGTAAACTGATTAAATAGCTGTAGTTTTAGGCCATTAACATAACAAATATAAGCAGATTTTGTCAGAATAAGGGTCAAGATTGTTGGAGGGGTTACCGTTATTAAGGTTTTTTGCACTCAGAAATTTGCATTTTGAATTGAAACCTCATTGTGCAACTATTCAAAAAATATTTCTAAAATAAATTAAATATAAAAATATGTTGTCAGGGGGATTGGAAGGTAGCTCAGTGGTAGAGTGCTTGCCTTGCATGCATGAGGCCCTGGGTTTGATTCCTCAGCACCACATAAACAGAAAAAGCCGAAAGTGCACTGTGGCTCAAGTGGTAGAATGCTAGCTTTGAGCTGATGAGCTGAGGGACAGTGCTCAGGCCCAGAGTTTATCCCACGACCGACCCCCCCCCCAAAAAAAAAAAAGTTGTTAGAATAGACAGAACTGATCAAGCTTTTGCTTGTCTAATTCTGAAATTTAATCAGTGAGAAACTGATGTAGTGTTGTATAGATTCATATTTACTATTTGGTTACCATGATGCCTATAAAGCCACAATTGTAATTGCAAAATATTTGACAAGCATGCACTAAAAGTAAAGGAAGGTCTTGAAAATTATCTGAGATAATAAAAGTATACCCAGTAAGCTATATCTTTTCTTTTTCTTTCTTTTCTTTCTTTTTTTTTTGGTCGGTTGTGGGGTTTGAACTCTGGGCTTAGGCGCTGTCTCTGCACACTTCAGCTCAAGGCAAGCACTCTACCACATGAGCCACAGAGCCACTTCCAGTTTTCTAGTGGTTAATTGGAGATAAGGGTCTCGTGGCCTTTCCTGCCTGGACTGGCTTTGAACCATGATCCTCAGAGCTCAGCCTCCTGAGTAGCTAGGATTATAGGCATGAACCACCGGTGCCCGGCTTCTTTTTTTTTTTTTGCCAGTCCTGGGGCTTGAATTCAGGGCGTGGGCACTGTCCCTAAGCTTCTTTTGCTCAAGGCTAGAACTCTACCAGTTGAGTCACAGCACCACTCTTGTCTTTTTCTGTGTATGTGGTACTCAGGAATTGAACCCAGGGCTTCATGCATGCTGTACAAGTACTCCCACTAAGCCACATTCCCAGCTCCTAAACTATATCTTTTTAGTGAACAAATACTAAAAGTACTCAATCATTTGAGTATCGCTTTTCTAAACTTTCATGTTAATCACCCCATTTCTGTTAGTGTAGTTGTTAGACAGATTTGAACCTTCTTTAACTGCACAATGTTTTCCTGAGATAGTATATTAGTTACTTGATTGGATTTGACTCTCAAATTGCATACCTCTCTCCTCCCCATACCCTGTTTTTAGAGAAAGAATTGAGTTGCTTACAATAAACAATATACTAATACAATAATGTATAATGCATCTCCTACTTTAAAATGTTATGTAAATAATATCAGCTATTCATGGCTCATGCCTGTAATCCTAGCTGATATCAATCAGGAAGCTGAGATCTGTGAGGATCACAGTTCAAAGCCATCCCTGATTAGGAAAGTTTGTGAGACCTTTATGGTCAAATAATCATCAAATGGCCATGTGGCTCAAAGTGTAGAACACCAGATATGAGTGAAGAATTGAGCTAAGGGACCACACTCAGGCCCTGAGATCAAGCTCCAGTATTAACATATAAACACAAAAAAAAAGTTAAATGAATATATGTGTTTATTTTATGACTGATTAATTTATGTGGTGATTGGTATGGATTCTTTATCACATTTATTACTTTCTTTTAGGTTGGCCATGATGAGTAAAGTGGAGTTAAAGGAAGATCAGATGCTGGAGGTTCAATTTGTGGGCGATGATGATGTTCTTAATCATATTCTTGACAGAGAAGGAGGTACTAAGAGATTGTACAGTTGAAGAGATATTTATGAATTCTTTCATTTTAGAAAACTTTATAATACTTTATTTTGAAAATACAGTACGAAGTAGTTAATATAGAAAGGCTAAATAAAAGCTGGTTTTTAGTTTTGCTTCTTTCAATTTTTTATTGAAACCTTTATCAAAAATGAAATGCTCAATAGTAGTAATAAACAACTATTTCTCATTGTGATTCCAAATAATGTAATTTTGAACCACTCATACTTTCAAGATGATGTGTTTTAATTTATTTATGTAAATTGTAGGAAAAAAGAGTGATCAGTACTTTTAGTCAAAGAGAAAACACTGACTTACTTTCCAGCTTAAAATAACATACCCAGGTGCTGATGGCTCATGCCTAGAATCCTAGCTCCTCCGGAGACTGAGATCAGAGGATCCGTGTTTGAAGCCAACCCTGGGCAGGAAAGTCCTTGAGACTCTTATCTCTAATTAACCACCAGAAAATGAGAAGTTGCACTGTGGCCCAAAGTGGTGGAGTGCTAGCTTTGAGAGAAAAAGCTCAAGGACAGTGCCCAGGCCCTGAGTTCAAGCCCCATGACTGACAAAACAACAGCCTTCTATTCAATTCTTTATCAAGAATTTATATTGGCCATGTTAATTCTTTTACTGTTCTTATAGGAGCTAAAGTAAAAAAGGAGAAAACGCAGCTTTTGGTTAACCCCAAGAAAATAATAAAGAAGCCAGAATGTGAACTGGAGGAAGGTGACCAGGAAGTCTTAAAGGATCAGAACTATGTGGAAGTTTTGGGAAGAAATGTTCAAGGTATTTGATGGTGTGGGTCATGGGGGTCACACAAGCAAAACATTTCCTTCAAGTTTTTCTCCACCATTTTTTGTTACTTTTGTTTGTTTTTAGACAAATAATCCTTAATTTTTTTATTTTTCTACCTTCTAGAGTTGTTGGGATTACAGATGTGTGTCATCACATCCAGCTGTGATATTTGTATTTTTAACCTACTGAAAATATATTCTCCAAGTTATTTTATTATTACCTTGACTTTGTGCAGGAGCAGTTAGCAAAAACATTCTTGGAAATAGTGTTATTCCAAACTAGGCAGATTTTTGTTGTGGTTTTGTTTTTGTTACTGTTGATATTATTATTTTTTCTTTCTTTTTTTTTGTTTTTTTGGTCGGTTGTGGGGCTTGAACTCTGGGCTCGGGCGCTGTCCCTGAGCTCTTCAGCTCAAGGCAAGCACCGCTTGAGCCACAGAGCCACTTCCGGTTTTCTAGTGGTTTATTTATTGGAGATAAGAATCTCATGGACTTTCCTGCCCTGGCTGGCTTTGAACCTCGATCCTCAGATCTCAGCCTCTTGAGTACCTAGGATTACAAGCATGAGCCACCTGGCTTATTTTTTTTTTAAGTGGTTGTACAAAGGAATTTTAGTTCACCAAGTCAGTTTATGAGTACAATGCATGTTGATCACTGTCACCCTTCCCAACATTCTCCTCCATCTTGTTTTGTTGTTTTTGAAACAAAATACAGCCCCAGCTAGCCTTTAAAAACCTTCCTGCTGGGTTATAGGCATATAGCACTATGAGCTGTGTTGGCTTTTTTGTCTTTGTTTTTACACTTAAATAAAATTTCTTCCAGATTATACTTTAGAAATACTTTAAGACTTTAATTTTAGACTTACATTATATTTTAGGTTGGTCTGGGTACAAAGACATAGGCCTACTCCAATTTGCTCTAAAAAATAAAAATCAAGAAAACAAATCAGTATTGTTGATATATTGAAGCTGGGATGATATAAAAAAACAAAAAACAGAAGGACTTAGCCAGACATAATGGTGCATCACTGTCATCACTGCTGCTTTGGGAGGCTGAGGCAAGAGGATTCTTGTCCAGGGCTAGTCTAACTAATATAGTAGGAAGCTATATCAAAAGGAATCAAAAGGAAACAAAACACCAGAAATCCTGAGGGACATGGATTTCCTGGTCTTCCTTCCTTTACTGTGCATCTGTTCTCTTCTGTTAGTGCCATCTATCTTCCTCATATATGTTCCTGATGGTCTCATTCGTAACCCATAAGTGACTCTCATAGCTACTCTTTGATCTGTCATTTAAGCCATAAGTCTTACTAAGTTTCAGTTCCCAGTTTTAAATGGTCTGTTTTTTTAATTTCCCCATTCTAGATTCTCAAAAGTAGATTTAGATTAAGTTCAGGGCAATAGACTAGTACTCTCCATTAGGCTTTTAGGGGGCAGGGTAGAAACTCCTAACTAAACTATTGACCTTTTTAGTACATATTCTGAATAGAACTTTGTATTCTTAACTGTTTATGCTAGCCCTAAGAAGAGATTGAAGACTATTCAATGAAACAAACTTTGTTTTTTTATTTTTTTGGGTCCGGTCGTGGGGCCTGAACTCTGGGCCTGGGTGCTGTCCCTCAGCTCTTCAGCTCAAGGTTAGCACTCTACCACTTAAGCCACAACACCACTTCCGGCTTTTTTCTTTTTGCTTATGTGGTGCTGAGGAATTGAACCCAGGACCTCATGCATGCAAGGCAAGTGCTCTACCACTGAGCCACCTTCCCAGCCCAAACTTTGTTTTTTTAAAAACTAAAAAAAAGAAAAAAATTGTAACAACACATTCTTCTAACATTTTCCATACAACAGCATACACAGCAAATAAGGTGCATTGGCCCTAAGACAGTTGCTTTGAGGCCCTAATTCCCTCTTCGCTTCAGGCACTGATTGGCAACCTCAGCCCAGGGAAAATCAGTAAAACCCTGGACACATGAATACCATATCTTATTTCTGTATACTGGCCTTATTTTTGTCATTATCCCCTATGTTTCTTAGCCTTTTTTCTTTATTGATTCATGGTCTTAATATATAGTTCAGGCTGGCTTCCTCACTCTCCAGTCCTGGAATAATAGATTTGTGCTAGCTTTTTAATTTATCTATTTTATGCCAGTGCTCGGGCTTTAACTCAAGGAATGGGTGCTGTCCTTCAGCTTTTTTGTTCACAGCTAACACTCTTCCACTTGAGCTATAGTTCTACTTCTACCTTTCTGGTGCTTAATTGGAGGTAAGAGTCTTATATTCTGTAATACATTGAGGTGCACACCATAATTCTCAGGTATTAGCCTCCTAAGTAGCTAAGATTACAGGCTTCCATCATTGGGTCATTGGTATCTGGCTTCATTCCCAGTTTTTTTTTGTTGTTGTTGTTGATCATGGGGCTTGAACTCAGTCTAAGCAACCGTTCTTGAGCTTACAAAAGGCTAGCATGATACTACTTTTGAGCCACAGCTTCACTTCCAGTTTTCTGGTGGTTAATTGGAGATAAGAGTCTCATTGACTTTCTTACCCCAGCTAGCATTACAGGTATAAGCCAGCAGTGCCCAGCTCATTCCCAGCTTTTTAACCTTGTTTTGTTTATCATCCCTTAATTAACCTTTTGTAGGCTTTTTCTACTAATAACGCTGATGAAATTTTAACACTACATATATGCTGTATATCTTGTATACTATGACTTTTTTGAGGGCCATAGATCATTGATTGTAATACTAAAAGTTTTTTTTCCATACTTCTGTCCTGCCAAGAATCAAATTTTATTTTTTTGCCAGTCCTAGGCTTGAATTCTTGGCCTGAGCACTGTCGCTGGGTTCCTTTTTCTTAAGGCTAGCATTCTACCACTTGAGCTGCAACACCATTCCGGTTTTTCTGTGATTAATTGGAGATAAGAGTCTTGTGGACTTTCCTACCAGTGTTGGCTTTTTTTTTTTTTTTTTCAATGTTGGCTTTGAACCAGCCTCTGAGTAACTAGGATTACAGACGTGAGCCACTGGTGCCTGGAAAAAAACAATTTTTATTCTGTTAAGAATACCTACTTGCCAGGCGCCGATAGCTCACACCTGTAACCCTAGCTACTCAGGAGGCTGAGATCTGAGGATCATGGTTCAAAGCCAGCCCTGGCAGGAAAGACTGAGACTCCTATCTCCAATAAACCACCAGAAAACCGGAAGTGGCACTGTAGCTCAAGTGGTGGAGCGCTCACTTTGAGCTGAAGAGCTGAGGGACAGCGCTCAGGCGCAGAGTTCAAGCCCCATGACGGACAAGACAAAAAAAAAAATCTACTATTGGCCTGGGAATGTGGTTTAGTGGTAGAGTGCTTGCTGAGCATGTATGAAGCCCTGGGTTTGAGTCCTTAGTGTCATATAAACGGAAAAAACTAGAAGTGGTGCTGTTGCTCAGGTGGTAGAGTGCTAGCCTTGAGCAAAAGAAGCTCAGGGACAGTGCCCAGGCCCTGAGTTCAAGCCCAGGACTGGAAAAAAAAAAATACCAGTACTGGGCACTGGTGGCTCATGCCTGTAATTTTAGGTACTCAGAGATACGTGGATAATGGCTCAAAGCCAGAGTGGGCAGAAAAGTCTTTATCTCCAATTAACTAGAAGAAGCCAGAAATCCAGCTGTGGCTCAAGTGGTAGAGTTCAAGCTCTAGTGTAAGCACACACACACAAAATAAACTTGTTAGTTAGGATGTTGTATACACCCAAACAATGTGAACCTTTTTTTTTTTTTTTTTGGGTTCGGTTGTGGGGCCTGAACTCTGTGCCTGGGTGCTGTCCCTCAGCTCTTCAGCTCAAGGCTAGCGCTCTATCACTTGAGCCACAGCGCCACTTCCGGCTTTTTTCTTTTTGCTTATGTGGTTCTGAGGAATCGAACCCAGGGCCTCAGGCATGCAAGGCAAGTGCTCTACCACTGAGCCGCCTTCCCAGCCCCTGGTTTATAATTTTTAATCATAATATATCTTGAAGATTTAGTTTTATTTCCAAGTTTTTTAAAATATTCTTTTTTTTTCTCCTCATATGAGGGATTGAGGTCGTTATTTTGAAAAGTGTTTTAATTTGGAAACAAGATATTTATTATTTTTCTTAAAATTTTTTGTAGTAATACTTAGACACTATATTGACAATGAACTATATAGCTTGTGGGTGCAGACAGAGGAAAAACTGAGAGAAGGAAAGGCTGACATTGTCCAAAAAGAAATGTAATCTTTACCTCAATTATGTAACTAACCCCTCTGTATATCACCTTTATTTGTTTTTGTTTTTGTTTTTTTTTGAGTCCGGTCGTGGGGCCTGAATTCTGAGCCTGGGCGCTGTCCCTCAGCTCTTCAGCTCAAGGCTAGCGCTCTACCACTTGAGCTGCAGTGCCACTTCCGGCTTTTTTCTTTTTGCTTATGTGGTGTTGAGGAATCAAACCCAGGGCGTCAGGCATGCACTCTACCCCTGAGCCACCTTCCCAGCGCTGTACATCACTTTTATAACAATTTTTAAAAAAATTTTTTTGGTGGGACTGGAACTTGAACTCAGGGCATTGTACTTGCCAGGAAGGTATTATACTCCTGAGCCAAATCTCTAGTTCCTAAATTAATTTTCAGGTAACATATCCCTTGTAAGTGAGAGGGGACAAAACAGTGAAAATACTTCCAGCCAAGCACATGCTGGTGGTGTGCCTTCGAATCTCCAGAACTGTATATGAACAATCCTTTTATTTGTGTTTTTCTAGTAACAAAACAAATGAAGAACATCTTTCCATTATTCATCCTTTTGCTTTGTGTTGAAGTGTAACCTATAGGTCCCATTTACCTGGACTTACTTGGCTTAATTCTCATAATTTATTAATCCATCTGATCTGGAGGGGAAAAAAAATCATTGTGTCTGTTTTTTGTGTGCTAAGATTTGTATAAACAGGGCTGGGAAGGTGGCTTAGTGGTAGAGTGCTTGCCATGCATGCATGAGACCCTGGGTTCAATTCTTCAACACCACATAAACAGAAAAAGCTGGAAGTGGGTGCTCTGGCTTAAGTGGTAGAGCGCTAGCTTTGAGTTGAAGAGCTCTGGGACAGTGCCCAGGTCCAGAGTTCAGCCTCATGACTGACCAAAAAAAAAAAAAAAGATTTGTATAAACAGGATTAGTCAATTTTCTATTATGTATTTTAAAATAGTTTATATATAAATACGTACTTTTAATCTGTTAGGCAATATAGTGAGGGTAGAAATTTAAGTTTAGTCAAACATTTGTATGTGTGTGTGTATGTATGTATGTATGTTCACTTTTCCCCTTTCCTTAAGTACATCTTGCATTTTCTTTTTCAGAATCCTGGAAAAATGGTTCTGCTGCAGATGGTGGGAATAAAGTTTACTCTTTTCAGAATAGAAAACCTCCTGAAAAGATGGCTAAATTAGGTGTGTTGCTTTTCTAGTATCTGCACTGATTATGCCACTTACTCATGATTACCATGCATTGTATTCTCTAAAAGAAAGATTAAATGTTCCCTAAGATTTAGGGAGGGCTGGGAAGGTGGCTCAGTGGTAGAGCGCTTGCCTGGCATGCCTGAGACCCTGGGTTCGATTCCTCAGCACCACATAAGCAGAAAAAAGCCGGAAGTGGCGCTGTGGCTCAAGTGGTAGAGCGCTAGCCTTGAGCTGAAGAGCTCTGGGACAGTGCCCAGGCCCAGAGTTCAGGCCCACAACCGGATCCAAAAAAAAAAAAAGATTTAGGGAGTGAGGTATTTGCTTAACAAAATAAAAAGGTGCCATTTAAAAGTTGCATTAAACACTCTTAAGTTTACTACATTTTATTTTGTGTTCAGATATTTTGTGTTCAGATGTCTTCTGTTCTGAGCTGGAGTATAAGCTTCTCATTGTAGGAATCCATTCTTTGTTTTTCTTTTATTCTTCTGACAGTATGTAAACTTAGTTATTAATAAAGTTTTGTGAAATGAGTGACTGAGTTTCTAAAGTTTTATACACTGTATAAAAATGTACTGTTTGTATTATAGCAAGGTTAAGAAGGGCTTTGGGGCCAACAAAATGACTTTAACCTGCTCAAATGTAACTATATCTTTTCTATACCTTTTTCTTTTTCCTTTTTTTCCTGCCAGTCCTGGTGCTTGAACTTAGGGTCTGGGCCCTGTCCTTGTGCTTTTTTGCTTTAGGCTAGCACTCTACCACTTGAGCCACAGCTCTACTTCCAGCTTTTTTGGTGATTAATTGGAGATCAGCCTCAGAGACTTTCCTGTCCTGTGCCTTCAAACCTGTCTTCAGATTTCAGCTTCCTAAGTAGCTAGGATTCCAATTGTGAGCCACTGGCACCTAGCTACCCCCTTTTTTGTAAAGAGAAAAAAAACTGCAATTATTTAAGTATTGTGTACCTTTGTTCTCAGCAAGCAGTGTCCCAATATGAGTGTTAACTTGGAAAATATAAACCTGTTTCTTCACTTAGGCACCTCATTTCTTTCATAGTGTGAATGTGTAATAAGAATCGTTGACGCGTTATACGCGTTACGTATAATAAGAATCTTCTGATGCTTAAACAAAGAAATTGCCATCTGTTTAACACACCATATTGTTGTCTTCATTACCTACTTTTATTGAAGAATTTTAGACCCAAAATAAGAAGACTACAATATGGACTTTGGGCTTGCTAGACACTACCACTTGAGCTGCACCCAGACCTTTCTGCTTTAGTTGTTTTAGAGTCTTGTGTTTTTGCCCAAGCTGTAGATGATCCTATTAACAAATTCTGTGCATCTAGGTTAACCAGTATGTGCCGGCATGCCCAACTATTGGTTGAAGTGAGCGTCTCATTAACATTTTGCCTGGGCTGGTCTTGAACCCATTCTTTAACTTGCTAGGATTGTAAGTTTTAGCCACTGCACCAACAATTAAAGTGTATTTTAACTATGCAGTTTCTACTTTGTGTTTTGTTTCATTTTTGTGCCAGTCCTTGGCTTGAACTTGGCCTGGGCACTATCTCTGAACTTTTGTGCTCAAGGCTAGCTCTCTACCACTTTTAGCCCTAGCTCCTCTGGCCTTTTATGGTAGTTAATTGGAGATTAAAAAAAAAACAATCCCATGGACTCTCTTGCCTGGCCTGGCTTTGAATTGTGATCCTCAGAACTCAGCCTCCTGAGTAACTAGGATTATAGTCATGAGCCACTGGTGCTCAGCTCTACTTGGTTTTAGACTTTACTTTCTGGTCCTTCTATAATTTCTGGCCCTTATTATTCACCAGTTATAATTTTCCTCCAGTATATATGATAAAATGTGTAAGGAATATAATTTGTTGACAGAGGAAAATATGATAATTAGAGAAAATAGTCTTGTTGAAGTTATTTGTATTTTGTTTCTTGAGCAATTTGTTCATAATTGGAACCTAAAAGATGCTGTTGGAGGACGACTAAATGGTAAAAGTAGTACTCAGTGTGGCTCGACTTATTTATTTTTTTGGTCAATTTGCTAGTTTTCTGTTTTTATCTTTTTTTTTTTTTTTTTTTGCTTATGTGGTGCTGAGGAATTGAACCCAGGGCCTCAGGCATGCATGGCAAGCGCTCTACCACTGAGCCATCTCCCCAGCCCCCTAGTTTTCTGTTTTTTAAGAACTTATATAAGTGAAATAAAGCTGCTTCCCATCATAACTGTTTTTGTTTATTAAGGAACTTACTATATTTTTTGGTCTGTTTACAGCTTCAGAACTCGCAAAAACCCCAAGAAAAAGTGTTTCATTAAGTCTGAAGAATGAGTCTGAAATTATGATAAACATTCCTCAAAGTAGCAAGGGTAAGATTTTACTGCAATTCTTTGAAAAAAAATTCATAACTGCTTCATATGAGATTATGTTACTTTTATCTTCTCATCTGAGTATATTTTCATCTGTTCTGGAAATTTATTCAACAAAATGTTGCTGAAAAGTAGTTGGATTATTAGCTAATATTCTAACCTGTCTATACTCATATTTACCAGTCAATGAAGAAGAAAAATTTCTGAGCTAACTAAAGTTAGTTGATAGGGCTATCTAGAAATAGTCATTGAGGCCACTGTCATTAGCTTGAGTTAGTTGCTCATGGGAGATTTGACTTTGACATATACTATGAAATAAGAGGGGATTTAGAAGTTGTATGAATTACGTAACTGATTTTTGTTGTTGTTATGTCTTTCTTTTTTTGGTCTATGTACAGGGGGTTCAACTAATGACGTTTCTCTCATATTAGTCAAGGTCATAACACTTGAACCATACCCCTAACTCTTTTTGCTGCAGTTTGTTTTTCAGATAGGGAACTCAGTTTTTGCCCATCTCAGACTTGGACCACAATCCTTCTATATTTTAACTCCAGAGTAGCTGGAAAAATACCATACAAGCTTGTCTTTTAATTTTTTTCTTTCTATACTGGGGTTTGGACTCAAGACCTTGTAGTTGGTAAGCTGGTGTTCTAGCCTGTTTTTTGCTTGTTATTTACTCAATACTAATGCCTAAGTTATGATACACCTACTTTAGTCTTCCCCTACTTATTGGAGTCCAAGGCTTGCAGCACCTCATCCAGACTCCCTCTGTAGAGAGGGAAGAGGGAACTTGGAACTTTCATCCTCTCAATGTCAGCCTTCCAGGCATACTATTGCACCCCTCTGCATGTTGGGAAGGCATCTCACTGACTTCTGCCCTGGCTGACCTCTAATCACAGTCCTCTGGGGACTTGAGAACTCAGGACCAGAATGGTCTCCCTTAGCTTTTTCTTCTTTCTTTCTTTCTTTCTTCTTCTTTTTTTTTTTTTTTTTTTTTGTTGATTGTGGGGGCTGAACTCTAGGCCTGGACGCTGTCCCTCAGCTCTTCAGCTCAAAGCTAGTACCCTACCACTTGAGCCACAGCGCCACTTCCGGCTTTTTTCTGCTTATGTGGTGCTGAGGAATCGAACCCAGGACCTCATGCATTCGAGGCAAGCCCTCTACCACTGAGCCAACTTCCCAGCCCCTCCTTGAGCCTTTTCACTTAAGGCTACCACTTGAGCCACAGTTCCACATCCAGCTTTTTGGAGAGTAACTAGAATGTAAGAGTCCCATGGATTTTCTTATCCTGGCTTGTTTTGAACAGCAATTCTTAAATCTCAGCCTCCTGAATAGCTAAGATTAAAGGCATGTTCCACCAATGTGTGGTAAAACTTGTGTTTTGAGAAAAGGTTTTGCTTACCATTTACGAGTGCGGGCTATCCTAAATAAGTGAGATTGTAATCATGCACCACTGGTGTCCCATCCCAGCCCTACCTAAAGAGTTTACATTCTAATAATCAAAAAGAAAAAAATAGTTCCATTTTTTTCTTGTCAGAATGCTGTAAGGATGCAGAAAATAGCTATTACTAATAGGAGTAGACATGAAATACTGATAATTTAGCCTCTAGTGGAGATAGTTAATCAAGAACTCAAGTACATGAAATAAGGTTCTGTGCAGAAACTACAACTTCGCTTTAAATGAAATTAGACTGTAATTTAAAAGATGAAATATTTGTAGTAAATATGACTTCTTGTTTCAGAGTATTCTACATCAGACAAAGTTCAGCAGAAGGTAAGAAATTGCCTAAAAACAAGCAAAAACTTTAGTCCTATGAATTAGACATGATGAAAATAGCCATCTTATCTCTTAGTTTATGTAATATTTTATAATTTATACATGTTTACCAGTTATATCCCTGACTTACAGGTAAAGAATTTGAGGTTTAGAAAGGTGAAGTGACTCCCATAATTTTACCTAACTTAGAAGGATTAAAGACGAAAGTGAGCCAGTTCTTTAGTTAAAGATTAGATTTTTTTTTCTTATATGTCACAAATATCTCTGGGTATTTTTAACTTAGTATAGTTGGTCTGGGAAATTTATGAGTTTTGTTACACTTTTAAGTAAAATGTATTTATTTGTTAGCCAGTCTTAGAGCTTGAACTTTGGGCCTACGCTCTGTCTGTGAGCTTCTTTGTGCTCAAGGCTAGTGCTCTACCACTTGAGCCTCAGTGCCACTTTGGCTTTTTCCGAGTAGCGTCTCATGACTTTATTGCCTGGGCTGACTTCATATCTCAGCATCTCCTGAGTAGCTAGGATTATAGGCATGAACCACCAGTGCCTGGCTCTAGTTTTGTTTGTTTTAAAGAGTATAGTGTTAGTTGTTTGTTTGTTTTAGGTCATGGGGCTTGAACTCTGGGCTTGGGCACTGTCCCTGTGCTCTTCAGCTCAAGGCCAGCACTCTACTGCTTGAGGCACAGTGCCACTTCCAATTTTCTAGTGGTTAATTGGAGATAAGAGGTTCATGGACTTTCCTGCCTGGGCTAGCTTTGAACCATGATCCTCAGCTCTCAGTCTCCTGAATAGCTAGGATTACAGGCGTGAGCCACTGGCACCCAGCTTTGTTTTTTGTTTTTAAGAATTGCCCCATTAAGGCTGGGAAGGTGGGTCAGTGGTAGAGTGCTTGCCTTGCATGCATGAGGCCCTGGGTTCAATTCCTCAGCACCACCTAAGCAAAAAGAAAAAACCCGGAAGTGGCTCTGTGGCTCAAGTGATAGAGCACTAGCCTTGAGCTGAAGAGCTGAGGGACAGCGCCCAGGCCCAGAGTTCAGGCCCCACGACCAGACCCAAAAAACAAAGAATTGCCCCATTAAGTTAATTACTCGATCCTTTTATTATTTATATTTGGAAACTAAGTTCATTGAGATAGATAATTTCAAGGTAGCTAACATAACTTGGCAGTTACTTCCTTCCTTTTGTGTTAGTGATTTTATTTTTCACTCTGCCTTGTCAAGTGTTCTTGCCTAGATTAGAGCAAGCCCAGATGGTCAGGAGGCATCCCCAGCATTGGATATGTCAGTGATATATTCAGGCCTTATTTATGAGTATGGATTCTGACATGTTTGGGCTTAGCTAAGGAAAACCCTTAGGTAAGAAGTTAAGTATTGACTTTCAAGACTTTGATTTTAGCCTTATCAATAATGCACTATTTAGACAAGTATAGGTATAAAAATTAGACATGCCTTTAATAACCCATTTTTTCTTTGTTGTGTCTCATATGTTGTATCACTGTTAAAGAATTATTATAATCCAAGCAGGACTTGAGATATATTAGAACATTATTTTTCATGTTGTCTGATCAATCATGTCTTCAATTAGATCATGCCAACTCCTCAGGAGAAGATTTTTTAAAAATTCATTGATAACAGCTATCTGCCACCATAAGAGACATCACCATGACAGGGTCTTAGTGTGCTGATTTAGAAAAGGCAGGTCAAGAGAGAGTATGTGTAGGACTTAATCAGAGCTTAAGTGGTCTAACCATTTGACTGGATAAGTAGCTAAACCTCAACCTCTTTAAGTGGTGTTTCTTTCAAGATGGAGAGGTGGTTGATTTTGTACAAAGTTGGGGACATGATATTTTCCAGTTGGTGGTCACAGAAAAGATGATTAAAGTACAACTTGATGAAGATGTATTTCATCTTATCCTGATGATAAGATGAACAAACTGTTTACCTTAGAGTATATGGTTTTGTCCTTGTGGGAAAAGAGTTGGCTCAAATGAACATACTGTAAATGTACAAAGTTGGCAGAAATTTCCAGCAGCAATCAAGGAAGTAGTATTTTGAAGGCAAAAATTTATTTTGATATGTTTATTCTGAATTTGCAAACTTGATAATTAAGCTATGTAGATGTATATCTCAAATCTTTATTTTAAAATCAGTTTAGTAGGACATACCTATATTCTGAAGAAGCAGGCACTGGTAGCTCACACCTGTATTCCTATCTACTCCTATCTACTGAGATTTGTGGGTCACATTTCATTTTTTTTTTTTTTGGGTCTGGTCGTGGGGCCTGAACTCTGGGCCTGGGCGCTGTCCCTCAGCTCTTCAGCTCAAGGCTAGCACTCTACCACTTG